TCATAGAACAACAGTGGTCAAAAAACAACAGTAGACATGGAACAACAATAGTCCTTGAAACATAGTGGTTGAACCGATTTTTCACTATTTCAGCACCAAATAGGCGGTGTTCTTTAAGTATTTAAGTGCTTCCAGCTATGGAATGTTGGATTAGGAGTGTTCAAAATTTGGACCAAGCCCGCCCGATATTTCATCTTTTTTTAATAACCACCTGACATCTAGATTATTCCACGGAGAACCTAAACCCTTTTTCAAGGACAGAATATGTCCTTTGCAAAATATGAACGCAGGATTTTTCACCACATTTCCTTAGGCTGATATCTGCTATGACAACAGACCATATGCAAAATCAGCAAACAATACAAGGAAATTGGCGCCCTGCAAAACCTTTGCCAAAATCTCACTTTACTTCTTCAGGCTGCCCAAATATCTACGCTTTCATTCCATTTCAGAAGCTTATAAAAAATGGGAGGATTTACCTTGGTTACAAAGTAGAAAACAGAGTACATAAATACATAGAATGCTGACCCCCCGGACACGAGGAATGATCGCCACCACCAGTGGTAATCCTGAAAAAAAAAAACCACACACACAATGTCACTTTTCAGGGCTAGGATTAACCCTGACCCTCCTCAATCCTCAAATCGGGCAGTTTTGGAGGATTGAGGGTGAATGGCAAAAGTGCATGGCTTATTGCGAAGGATGCCATGGATGTAGGTTGTGAGTTAGACCTTGTGTTGTTTTTGCTTAGTCATGCATAAATTCAGCCCGATATTTCTTTTTAATCAACCGCACTGCTCAAGAATGCCATTCACACAGCCTCAACATAATGACAGGAATTGCTGGAGCATTTTGAAGGATTGAGGCAGGTAACATTTCAAGAAATTTTGGACGATTGAGGGAGAATCCAATTTTTTCACCCCCGAAATTGGGAGATTTTGGAGGATTGGGGAGGGTTCCTAGCAAAAGGGCCTAGGGGGTTAGGGCTAAGTGACTCTCCCACTTACAACATATAAAAATGCGAGCGATTAAATCCACCATTTGGGAACATATACACTGAAACCTGGAGAGACTGAAATGCCATCTACATCCGAGGACGCTTCACCATACATGCTGTTCTGCTGATATAGTACAGCAAAAACCTTAAGACAAAGACACACTTTAATATTTGTCAATACTCCATGTGTTACCGATGTAGAAATTGTCTAGAACATTTTGTTCTCACATTTCATGAAATTGTTGGATTCTCTGCATCTCTATTAAAAAAACAAAAATAACACATTCTAAGTCTTGAGATTTTGTAACTAAAGACCAGCAGAGGTCGGTTTACCTGCATTCTAGAATTTCACAAATTGTTAACTTATACAACTTAAAACATTTCCAGTGACCTTGGTACAGCTTTGCCATTTTCTGCCACAACCAAGAGCTCACATTCTCAGCTAGTTTTTCGGATCTGCTTACCTCGCCACAGAGCTGAAAGTAGACCATCACTATGGAGATCTGGGCGCAGGAGATAATGAGGATGACAAACACGACAAACAAGAACCCAAACAGATAGTAGAACTGGTTCTCCCAAATTGCCTGCCAGAAATAAGGACAAGTTGAAAAGGATTTATTTAACAGAGCAAAGCTTGAAATGCAATCCTGGATTGAGCAAAAGAAAAATTGTATCAGAGAAAAACACGTTTGAGGCAACATTCTGTCCCTTTCGGATCTCGGCTGACCAATCTTTTTGAAATCTGACATGCACGCAAAAGACATTATGAACACATTTGTGAAGTTTCAATTCAACCCAACAAAGACTTTCATTGTAATGGTTATTTAAGCCTCTTATGGTTTTACAGCACAAATATGCATGAATGCCCAGAGTCACTCTTGTGCTTCTGTTTTCTTTATGGAGCACAAATATGCACAGCTTCAAAGTGCATTAAGTTGGTGGTCAGCAGAAGATGACACAGGCTCTTTTGTGCAGTCCTCCTCACTGCATTTGGTTTACTGCACAATTGTGCACATGAAACAGTGAAGCACAGTTGTTTGATAACACAAAAGTGCAATCTGATATTCCTGTGAGGGACAGTTGGTGCAGTGCACAACACGACACAGCTATGCTTCTTTGAGGTGTTTACCAAGTGACCCAAAGAGTGACTTCAGCATAGGAGGGTTAAAATTCCACTCTAAAGTTCAACAATTCTGGGCTTACCCGTCTTGGGAAAAATAGACATTTGTCGAGAACGCTATGTCAAATTTTCATAAAATTGGTGTCAAAACGACCCCAAGAGATCAGTAAAAACCTCCTGAGAGGACAGCATAAAAACATGCCATGCAAAGGTACAAGAGAAAATGTAATGGGTTGAGCATTCCTGGAGTGACTTACCGTGAGAATGAAGAAGAGCTCAATGAAGACAGCACCAAATGGAAGGATGCCAGCCATCAGAGTGCTACAATTGATTAAGATTTGAATGATTTGATTTGATCGATAAAACGCTGTATGATGATAAAACCAAACGGAAGGATGCCAACCACCACAGTGCTGCAAATAACTGATTGGATTTGAATTTACTGATAAAGAGCACGATGAAGACAGTGAATAAACAGAAGGATGCCTGCCATCAGGGTGCCACAATTGATTGATTTGATAATAAAAGATCAGATCAGATCAGTTGGTTAGTCACTGTATTATTACATTGAATACAGTGAGGAGAAAAATCAACGAATGAATTGCTTCAAAGCACAAAAAAATCAAACAAATCAAATTGTAATAACAAGCCGACTTTGTGTGAAAAAGGTTGGCTCAATGTTTATTTAAAACAGAGTTGCCTATTCTCAGTTTATAATAAAAATGGTATATTTGAGCAGCAACATTTTCATTGAGAAATCTGTATTAAGACACATTATTTACAATTTGTATGATTCCTGACTTTTCACAACTCACGACAATTTTTTATTGGGAATTTTAACTCAAAACTTTGTGGTACGGTACAGTAATATCAACTGTAGAAAATATTAAAGTATCTAAAGAAACGAAGGCAGGCCATACCTTAGCAATGGGTTGAGGTACCAGACTTGCTCTGGAACTTGACGAGGGATCTGATTGGTCCTCACAGGATGGGAGTATGGCTATCAACAAATCAGAAAAGGCCTTTCATCAACAGCAACACCACGGGATTTGAGACTCAACCACCAAAGTACGCAGCTGATCAATATTTGCAAATGTAGTTTACTGAATTTTGTTCACAAAAATCTTAACGAGATCCAGCAACCAATTTCTGCAAGTTTTTGTTGAGTCTAGACATTGTGCAAATGACTTTAAAATCTAACAACTCTAGATGTAGTTCTTAAGCCCAATGAATATTTACTGAAAACATATAACCATCAAGAGTAATATCACCAAGGGACTGACTGGCCAACTTCTTCGAGGAATTCGGTGGCGACTCATCCTACCTGCTTTCGGTAGCCAAAGTAGTGGCCCAAAATGACCAGCGGCACCGAGATCCCGTTCCACATGCACACTAGGGCTATCATGGTGCTGAACGGCACCGCACCGGACGAATGCTTGCCCCAGATGAAGAAGTTCAGCAGGAACATGCAGCTAAACATGATTCCTGGGTAGAGCAGGCCCGTCTGGAGAAGGAAGGCGACGGCAGATCAAAACCTGTCCCTGTAAAACTCTTAACCAATCTTCCTAGATCGTTTAGAGTCCACTTCTCTACATGCAATTCGATACACAGTTGAGGTTTTGGAGGATTTTGTAGGACTGAAGAAGGTGGAGCCCAGCCAGTAGTATTTTATAAGTGGCATTGAATGCCCCTTGAAAGCACAACCTTTTTTCTAATATGTCCTACATAGGAGACCTGTATATAGAAACAGTTGTGACATGACACCATTTTGTGTCGAAAAATTGTTGGCTGTTGTGTGTGGGGATTGTGAAAGACTGATCAGAGTTGGACAACTGACTGTTATCTGAACAAAAGCATGTCCAATATGCCAGAGCATATACTTTTGAGGCAGACTATGGACCCAAAATGGCTTCAATTCTGAAGATGTCGCAACTCTCTCTACATGCAATTCCATACACAGTTGAGGATTTGGCAGAATGCATGGAGAGTGACACACAACAAAAAGTACTCTAGCGTAGTCCCAGCTTAAAAGGAAAAATTGCGAGGACTGACGATGATCCAGACTGGGGCCAATTTGCTGCTTAAGCACAAAATTTGCTTAAGCACAAAAAAAAAACCTTGCTTAATAAACAAAGGTTACCAGCTCCAACTCTGTGTGATTGTCATGCTAACCAAAAGACAGGTAAATACCATTCCAAAACAATATACATCACAAGAAGTTCTGGCTGGTAAACTGATTTGTCAAGCAAGGCTTTTTCACACTTAAACAAATTTTTCGCTTAAGCAGTGCTATGAAATTGGCCCTGCAGACTGCATAGACATTAAACTGCGCATTTTCAATGGCCCCCTTAAATGGTGGAAAGCACTGTGGTTAAGTTCTATACAGAATGACTGTCACAGACCAGTAGATCCATACACTGGTCATCACAATGTTGCTGCCATTAGCGGGGGCCACTATTCATGAATAGTAACAGAACGACAAGACAAACTCACCATGAGGGCCGACTGCATCCATTGGGTCCCTTTCATCGTCTTGTAGAGACGACCAGAGAAAAACCCTGCAAAAACCCTGCAGGTGACAAAAAGCAAAACAGTTCCAGTTTGGACAAGTGTAACTTAAACTTTGCACTTGCCTTAACAGGGGTGTGAGTACAAGATCTACAAAACAAAATCAGAAATGAACCTCTGTCATTTTTCAGGGCTTTCGGTTGCTAACAAGGCATGGGTTCTCTCGAGAGTCAACAGAGTAAATCCTGAACATGTTTTTTTTTGGAACAAACAGCAAAAATGCAGCAAAACTTGAACAGATCAACCTCTTAACACGTTGACTGGCACGCGTAATTACATCTACACCTGTGACTACGAATACACTCCTAGTTGGTAGTCAACATGTTAAAATTTAGAAATGTGGAATCTACTTTTGAAAAAGAGCAAGATCAGTAATTGAAAAAACTGTTTGACCTAAATACCGCAGGTTTGGTCTTACCCCATAAAGACAAAGAGGAAAAGTGCAGCGCTAAGGAGGGCTCCTCGGTTGCTAGGCGACAACATCCCAAACATAGCAAAACCTGTCGAGACAAAACAATGTCACACTCTGAGTGATTAACTAATCGACCAACGGGCAGGGTTTGAAGGAAAGAAAAACTATTAAAAGGGCTGCTCCTCAAATCTGAGCATGGCGATTTCAAACTACTCATTCCTGGATGCCTTGTAGAGGACGGATCACCCCATTGTCCAATCACAGCATATGTTGGTACGTGCCAACAATGAAAGTCTTGAAAATAACTGTTGAGCTCAAAACGAAGTCAAAGAATGAGAACAAACGCTGTCATCTGGAACAACGCCCTGATGTAAGTATTTTTAGACTGCCTCTCAGTAATTGGGCTACGGCAGCAAATAATGCACACATCTCTGGAAGTGGCCAGCTAGCAGCTTGCTGCTTTTCCCACAGACGTGCATTATTTGGAGTCCTAGCCATGTCATTCGGTTGCAGCTTACTGATGGTGATGACAGACATGACGAAGATCTGAACACCGGTCCCTGCCAGAGCAGCGAGAAGCTGCTTTGCCTTGGGCGGTCTGAAGACGTCGCCGTGAACCAGTTTCCAACCGGTTTCTTCCATTGTGTCTTCCTGCGATGCGGTTAGAGATGAAAGAAGCCAATCTTTAGCGAGCACTCAACATTTACGCTAAGTAATAAACTTCTCCTGAAACTGCATGAGACCATTGGGGTCATGCACCAAGTGAAATATAATAAATGCCAATCAAACGCTTCAGAACTGAGCTTCAGCTGAGCGCCAGGTTCCCACAGAAATCGGAAAAGCAAATTCCATGACTTTCAAGGACTAAAAGCAGCCTATCAGATACATTAACCCTAGCATGATCTTGATTACTGACTTCGTCACGACTTTTTACCTGACAACAGGATTCCACGACACCCCATATTTTCCAGGATGTTATCGAAACTTTCCAGGACAACTTTTCCCCCTGGATTTTCTCAAGATATCACATGACCATGAAAACCTTCTGGGTACCAGACTCGCTGCTCATTAAAAAGTTAAAGTGGAAAGTATCTATATCTCTGGATTGCTGCTCTGAAAATAATTATGATTTAGTAAAGTTCCTGACATAAGTACCTTAGAAGTCTCAGTTTAACTTGCCAATAACCTCTTACAACCCATTTTTATGAGTCATTTATGTGATACGAAAAGTACACAATCTCACCACATCTTCATCCTTGTTGTAGCGTGCGATGTCTCTTCTCAGAGTTCGGATCATGATCATGGTCAATATACCTTTTTAGCAGAACGAAAAAAAAAAAATTCAAGGAACGACTGTTTTGCGTAAAAACGACCGCCCGAACCTTGAAAACTATTCAACAAACGAGAAGATCTTCGATGAGGTTCTGTCTTGATAAATGAAACCTGTGACCAACAAGGCAATTATTGTTGGAGGGGAAAAACAATAACTGGCAAGTGTAGAATTCCAACTCAGGACCTCAAGAACAGGTGCTTCACAAACTAAGCTCTACCAACTGTTGCACCAACTCTAACCTTCAAGATCCCTCAAAATCCACCATGACAATTTAGGAGGACTCGGAAGGATTGAGGATGGTAGAGCCAAGCCACTGTTATTTTACGTACGGAATGATGCCTGTTTAAAAGTTAATGGGGTAAATAATGTGCCATTGGTTTCCTGCACAGCGGGGGACTTGGTAGGGTACAGGGAAAGCCAAGGGAAACCAGGGTGGGGATCGGCACGCTGCCTCACCTGCGAGGAAGAACACCACGACCAGGGAGTTGATAATGGAGAACCAGTGGATCTGTACATCGGTCATGTTGAGGTAGGTGTCCCAGCGTGATGCCCATTTGATGTTGCTTTCCTGCCAGTTCACCTCGTAGGAGAATGTTATCTCTGTTTCCTCTGCAAAGGGAAATTTTGATAACTGTACCTCAACAGGCAATGATCCCTTGGATACGGTGCACACCTACCACCCCCGGGGAGGGGGTCTTCCCCCTTGGTCCCCTCTCAGTGTGACCATTTCGGTTGCTACAAGGAGTAATCGACCACAGTTACCACATCTGCCCTCAGAAGTATACATTTATACTCCTGGGCGGAGAGAGGCGTGTTGGGGTAAAGTTCCTTGCCCAAGGTCACAACATGCGCCCCATTGCCAGGTTCGAACCCAAAACCCTGCAATTCAAGGTTGCAAGAGCTTTCCACTAAGCTGCATGTCTGATTCCTTTATAAAATACAGCGACACAAAACCTAAACTTACTGTCACCGACGAAGGGTTGGACAGGGACGGTCTCGCCATCTTTCTTCTCCTTGAAGACGCAGATGTCGTCCTTGCCTTGGGTAATCTGACCGTTCTCTACGCTCCGGACAGCCACGTCAAAGCTGATGACTCTGTAGCTGTCGCTGAGATGGATCAAGAAATGCCACAATTGAAATTTGTCAATGAGAATGGAATGTACCAGTTGGCATTGGCTCTAACAGTCCAAGATTCTCTTTCTTTCAAGGATGTTGTACGATTGGGGAGGCAGAGCTCAGTCTCCTTGCTTTGAGAGTGGTTGGATGCCCTTTGGGAATAGGCTGGTTCCCTGGCCAAAGGATTCAGACTATTTAGGAGAATCTATAGGTCTGATAGCCACCAGTCATGTGACTAAAATCAGTAGAAACCCTTCAATTCCAAAAAATGTTTGAGGCTAGCTGATATATTCCAAATCTTTTTTGCTGATATCTGCGAATGCAGGGAGAAAATAAATTGTTTCTCTCTGCGGATTTTCCCACATCCATTCACACTTTTCTTAAACCCACATAACACAACCCACCTCTCTCCGTTCTCACCCGGCACCGTGTGGTATTTCATGTTCATGATCAGATGGTTATTGATGTACGGCTGCAAATATAAAGACGTCGTTCCGTATTATAATATGATAATTGGTAACCAAATCCAACTAGAAAGAGTTTGCAGAAGTGAAAATGGTTCACTCCACACAGTATGGGCCCCACTCCCCTGGAAAATTTAAGAGAATGTAAAATTGGTTCTAAGCACAGGGCCAGCAGGCTTATGATTAATCAATCATTTTGATTAATTAATCATTTCTCGCATCAATGATGTTTCGATTTATCTTTTGATGGACTTTTTTTTCTCTCTGCACGCCAATTAATTTTTATCCATGGTGCACATGAGGCATGAACATGAGCATTCAGTATTGACCAATGTGGACCGGCAGACAACCCAGCTGTGTCCTGCAAGATGAGAAAAACACCTGTTGCCACTGATCAATAGAATATGCTAATGTCTGCTTTGGGGCAAATTTTATCATGTATCAGATGGTCCCATGTGGCAGACTGGACTGCATGCTGGCTTTGAGAGGCTCGGGCTAAATGCTGTGGCTGCTAGGTATAACACATTAGGTCTATGTTAAGCTACTAGCTAGCGGCTGCATCAACTTCCCACAGATTCGTGTTATTCAAGGCTACGGCTTAAAGAAACAAGGCCACCTGTAAGCAATCAATACACTGATCAATGTTGCATAAGGGGTAGACCCCAAACTTATTTAGACACTTAGCACCTAATGGGGCAATGTGGCAAAATCCGACACCAAACTACGGTGAAGCGAAGAAGTTTGGAAAATTTGGCACCCTGTACAAATAGTAGGCAAACTAGGTCTCCAACATTTAATCTTTACCATTCAAGCACACTAGGGCTTGGAAAAGTTTTTCATGCATCAAACTGTGATCAGTATGCAAGGAGAATCTCGAGACTGGGCTTACCACTTTGTCCACCATGTAGCCCAGCTTGTAGCCGTGTGCATACTGCGCCGGCTCTTCCTCCGTCTTGGCTCTTACTTCGGTCGCAGCCGGCAAATTATCTGCGATTCTGCAGTAGATGTAAAGGGGTTTTTGTAGTATCAAGCCTGATGATCTTTACCATAGTCAAAGATTTCAAAAAGCGTTTAAATGTTCTTGCCCATGAGGTTAAAGTGCAGACTTTTTGACACCTTTCAGAGTAACCCTCCTTACAGTATAAATACCTCCTCAAAATGGCTCACAGTTCTCTTGAGTTGTAAACTCGGCGCAAGCATTTGGACACTCTGCATTGCTTCAACGTACTTCAAATGTGGTCTCTGTTAGGTTCCTTGGGTAACCACGATGCGGTTCCCAACACTTGACATTAATGCGGCAAAACTTGAGAAAACCGGTTTTTTTAATAGAAGATGGGTCGTATCATTGCAAAACTTAAATTGATTGTAGGGAAGTAACCCTCTCATGCTATTAGTTCACATTCCAACAGTGCCATTTTTGCCCTTCAAATTCTTTAACTGCTGAGGTTAGAAAACTGACCCTACCTTCCTATATCTTTTGAAATCCATCTGGAGGTCTTTGAGGATTTTGTAAGTTTGAGAAAGGCAGTGGAGGTTTTCTAAGGCTTTTGTAGGATTAAGAAGATAGAAGCCTGTCAATGTTAGTTTAACTGGTGTAAGGAGTTTCTTGACAGTATGAGGAATGTTCCATTGGTTTCCTACAGAGGGAAGGATTTTGAAGGATTTAGGAAGGTTCTTAGCTAAAACTGTAGGAGTTAGGGTTTGGATAATTTCTTTGCTCTACTTACAAGTGAACACTGTAGTCCTCTTTGATGCGATCAGCAACCATCTTGGCTTGGTCTTTGGTATATTTGACATTACATAATACATGACATGGCTTGTTTTGCTTCATCGGCACCTTGGAGACAACCAAAAAGTTATCTTAGCCGAATCCTGACAACGCAAGCCTCCAATAACAACTGATTGACATGCTTGTTCTCTCAAGGAATATTAACCCTAACTGCCAAGCATATTGTTTGGCTTACACTACACAGTACCACAAAATACTAAGTAATAGCCTGAGCCTGAAGGACCTAGCGCTACAGATTACTACTTCTGGCTAGGTTACTTCCATTGTTACTTGTACAGAGAACAATAAAGCCATGGATTCATAGTGCCACAGCACTGTATGGTACATTGTCTTTTCTGTTGTATCTTATGGCTTCACAGAACAATAAAGTCATGTCCTCTGACAAGCGACAGTGCTGAGTACTACATTTTACTACAAGTAATAATTTGTAGTATTATGTAGGGTTAGGGTTCACATCTTTGCAACACATCAGCATGCATTACAAATTATTGTGTTCAAACTGTCATGGTACTGTCCCTTTGTAGCAATACCGCATTTCCTAATTTCTGACCCAAAGCACAAAAGGTCATAACCATTTTCTTGTAGCAGTTAGCCATGCGTGAACAGACCTCTGGGACTTGTTTTGACAAGTAATACACAAGATGTAGATGCAGCCCATTTTTAATATGAACTGTAGAAACTTTGCACAGCACGAGAAAGCCTTTCACAGTGCGCAAATGTCTTTGCTGGCCGTGGTCAGCTGATATGCACCGCCGCCCTATCACTCAGCACGATTGGCGAATACTGTGCGAAATCTCTGAATTGGCTTCCCTTTTCTGGAACAGCCTTCCGCAATCACCGATTAGAGGGGAAAAGGTGATTGGCTGATGGCAGAAACATTGACAAAGTCTGGAATAAGATTGACCAGTTGCACAACGTTCGGCTGATCCTGCAGATCACGCCCAACATTTACACAAAGTTTGTTGGACTACTTCTTTAAAAATTAACATTAATAAACAGCAAAACAGGAGTGTGATATTTTGTGTATTTTAGCACAACGGTGGTCACAACTGACGTAAGAAATCTATTTACCTTGTACAACGTATTGACGATACGATCCCCACGCAAAACCTCGCCAAGGTTCTCTGATTTGTAAATGATTTTGTCCAGTGAGGGCGGACAGATGCCTATCGTGTAGTACTCGTAAGGAAGCTGTGTTTTGGTTGACGTTAGCTTCACTCCCTGATGTGGAAAGAGAGACGACTTAATGTATATGTAAACAAATACAGCGAAAAGAATTAGAAGCCATTAATGTGAGGCCATCCTGTCCGCATGCAGGTGGTAACGTCCTCGTTGCATTCCTCTCTGACCAACAGAGTATCGTGACTCGCCCAAGTGCACCAACACGCTCACTTTAAGACATGTGCTATGGCCTGGCAGGAATGGTGTCTCCTCGGCATTGTCGATACCTTGCACTTAGGACAACTTTTGACTCTAGACAGCACAGTTCAGCTGGCTGCAAATTTTATACAGAGCTTGAGGTATCTTTACTTTCTACCGTAAAGAAAGCAGGATTTTGCTTACTGCACTTAGTAACTGGACTAGTGCAAAGTCATACAAGTAGATGCACTAGACAGGGCATGGTGTCTTCAAATTTGTATTGGCATACAAAGGAAGTAATAAAAAACAAGCAAATTAAGCTTATCAGAGGAAGCTGTATGCCTGTGACATCTATTCACACACATGTGAAACGGGCCTTGTGTCCACCACCAGTTGGTTTCCCATGAGGCCCTGTGCACAAAATAAATCCCAGGTACCTTGCAAAATTTGGGGAGTTAGGCTGGCGTCTAGTGGTTTGTTCCTCGCCTTTCACTTCTGTATTCCGTGTTCGCATCCCGCCCCGGTCCACATGTGGATTGAGTTTTCAGTCCCTACCTGATTCCGTGGGTTTTACCCACAATATTTCCCTAGGGTTTCCTCCCACCACTTAAACTGTTAAATGCTTCCTATTGTCTCTTCTCTACAGGTTTCTTCAGGCTTCTGAGAAAACAGTGACTACAGTGCATTTGAGGAATCCTTGGTGTCATTACCAGAGAAAATGATTAATAATAACAACATTGGCCCGTAGTTGAAAAGTGGTATAGTTATTTGAACTTTTCCTAGACTGCACATATCCAATGCCACGACTCAGGAATGCCATGACTCAGGACTGTGGAACAGTTTTGCAACGGCTACGACTTTATATCATTGATGACAATACGCAATTGGGGCAATCCACAGGCCTAACAGATAGATGGCCTACGACAAGGCAGTGGACGTACCTTGATCTCCACTTCTTCTCTTTCGCTGAACTCCACAGGAGCGACGCCGGGTACATAGAATGCATGGCTGAGCCTCAGGTGGGCTGTAGCCATGCAGAGCAGTAGACATAGTGGTAACCGAGACATCTGTGGAAGGAAATATGGGCACTCTCATTATGGAAACACATAAACATAACTGTAACATATAATGGTAAATATAACAGGGAAAATATACCGGTAATGGCAATATAGAGCATAAGCATAAATATTTCACAGTAAAAATGTCTTAAGTCTCCACTGCATAATGCAGAAACCCCTAGGCCTAGAACTGTAGGGATCATCGTTTTGCCTCTCCAAGCAATGTGGTCTATAGCACAAAACTGCTGCTTTCGACAGGGATCAAAGAGATGGAACAACAAGCCCCATAGTTCCAGGGATTAACTGCATATGCACACCAGTACAGTACGGGCAAATATGCACAACTGAAGACTATTCAACATTCAGAAATCCAGAGGTTTTTTCCAAGGGGCCTACAATGACCACTGTATGGCAGCTGACTGTGACGTGTCACGGGGGTTTATGGTTTAGGCCTTGGCCTACCATCATTCAGAACGTCATAAGCCTTATTGCAAATACTGCATGGGTGATTTTGCACAATGGTAGAAAGGCACTGAACACTAAATCTCTTTCCTCCCCACAATGCCTTTCTACCATCGTCGTGGGGGGTCGTGCTATTTAGCATCAACACACATAGGTAGCGTCAACAAAGCGTCAATAACTTAAAAGTATCCTCTAATGGTTTCAAAGTGGTTTATCATATTTTACAGACTCTAACATGTTCTACTGTGTAAGAAAAACAGGATATTTTAATCCAGATTCACACAGGAAAATGAAAATTTTTCGTGATGTATAGGGGCTGCCATTTTTCTTTCATGTCTTTTCTCTGCCGTCCATGAGAAAACAAGATGGCAGCCGGTTTAGTAGTACAAGCAGACGAGCAAAACTGACTTTGTTGCTCAAATTTCCACACTCAAATATCATTTTTACATAGGCCCTAGTGAATATGACATGGAGATGACCAGTTAATATTATACATATTATAATGTTTAATTATTTTGCATAAATATGCTTGAATAACTTGTTGACGCTTTGTAAACAGCAGTTGTCGACGCCAAATAGCATGACCTTAAAGTGGCACTTGCACTGGTCATGCTAGTGGTACTCAGTGCAGCACACATGCAGTGCTGACTGTGCCTGTAGGCTGTACTGCTGGTGGTAGTACGTAGGCTACTTTATTTTCGATGCTACTGAAAAAACAAGGGAAAATTACCCACAAAACCAACTACAAGCACACACTATGACTCAATCTATAAACAAAAACATGTAAGAATGAAAGCGAATTTAAACTTTGTGCAAAAAAGCAGCACTTCTGCAGAGACGCAGAGTCCACCCTTACCATAGAGTTCATCCAATGGATTGCAAATTCCGTTAAACGACAAATGTATGGTTCCCAAAGCGCAAGCCTTAGAAATATGTATGTATGAAACGCAGTCAATGATTTTTACACCCAGGCGATTGGTGCCAGACTGCTTTAAAATGGCCAACGTGGAGAAGATAATTTATGCGTGACGTCACAAAAAAGGAAACTGGTAAACTTTTTATGGGGTAAAAAAAGCTCAGTGAATAATTCAGATGTTAATTTGTAAAAAAATGGAATTAAACACTTTGAACCAAAACAAACTGCATAAGACTAAAACAATGTTGAGATACTTAATTTTTCACCCGTACGCGTACTGCAACAATAGCTGGTGTCCGATGCTATCAACAATACAAAAGCGCTGGTAGGTCAGACGGACACCAACTTTCCAACAATTGACCTTTTCCACGCTGAACGTACAGCAGTGCGGTCAACTGAGTGTCGCTAGCTCACCGCTGTTCAATTTCTGTAATCTAACAGGACTTGATTAAGTCGGCTAGCACTCGAAACCATGGTACGAGGACTAATGTTTATGCGTGTTTGAATTTCGATTATTTTTTTTGTACTGCTAAAGAGTGATTTTAAGTACCACATTACCAGTCACCGCTCGTGGCACCAGGCCTATCTTACTATGCATGTGACAATTACCACGTCCAATCCATGGGCACCGCTTGAGGGCGCACCGTATCTTATAATATAAATGTTTTTACTTTTAGAAACACAGAAAATACCTTGAAGCAGGCAAAATAGGCTTAACGTGATATTTTGCATAGACATGGTAGAAACTATCTCTTAAACAAGTTTCTGTCATGTAAATATTTCTGCTAACACACCATGCTCACTACATTAGGCTTGATGTTACATGTATGCTACCCCCAGAACTGTGGGGGCCCGACGTCCGCTCCTCTCCCACGAACATGACACCATTATGTCATTGAGAGTAATGAACTGCATTATCTTGAGGTGACATTTTTAGTTTAAACTTTAGTTATTTTATAACATGACTGTAACTTGTCAGTTTAACTGTTATGTTACTGTGATGACCGTCATGACCATGTCGTTCCTTTTTTATGTTCTTGAACTTGACAGTCATACTTCAAGGAACCAGGCAAGGGGGGACCAGCTGAAGAAAGCACAGCCCACCGCATCCGAATCACGCTGACAAGCCGAAATGTCAAGAATCTGGAAAAGGGTGTGTGATTTATCCATAACTTTTCACCCTATTCCTGTCAAGTGTCAGATCCTTGAAAATCTGTTGGGTCCTGTGGAGGTTCAGAAAGATGTTGTAGGATTGAGAAAAGTACATCCTAGTCAATGTTGATTTGCCCAGACATGACAGGGTGTGGTGTCTTGTGAAAGCTTAAGTGCGGACATGTACAGATAATTTGCCAGTGGTTTCCAACACAGTACAGATTTTGTATGATGTGGGACTGTTTCAAAAAAAAAGAGAAGTTTGTGTGCACGCCCATGGACGATTACCGTAATGTTGTCTTAGAATTCCATGAGACTCTTTATTTTTAATTGCATGTAGTGGGGCTCAATTCAGGGTAACCGTGATTCTGCCCTTAATTTTCAGTGTGCGCTGATCTGAAGCGCGGAGCCCAGGACAAGAACCTGGAGGTCAAGGGCCCGGTGCGCATGCCTACCAAGACGTTACGCATCACCACCCGCAAGACGCCGTGCGGTGAGGGGTCCAAGACGTGGGACCGATACCAGATGCGTATCCACAAGCGGCTCATCGACCTCCAGAGTCCGTCAGAGATTGTCAAGCAGATTGTATCCTTTCCAGACATTTACAATTTGGCTTAGGGCTTGTAAGAAGGGGTATAGTGACTGATCCTTGCTGAACATGAGCCAGACCTCATAAAAGAGTTGTGGGCAAGCAGGTGTGCTTTACGAGTACATGTACCAAGTTTACCATCACGTAATGGAGGGTTAAGATGGTTGGGCATCTAGTTCGGGGTGATAAGGCTACGAAGTGCAAACATCAGGCAGTACATGTAAAACACCAAAAGAAATCAGACTGGACCATCCTAATCTTGTACAAACTGAGTTTTGAAAACTAAAGATTTCAGGAAGTAATTGTTTTGAGTACTTTGTCCTGAAACTTAATTCAAAAGGTCTTTTCGTGTATCCAAAGATCCAAGGATAATTGTCTAACATTGACTTCTTTGGCTGTAAAAGTTTCTGTGATACTGTTCATTGCAAACGTTTCAATATTTAGTCGTCAATTGACTGGATTTTCTTTGTTTATCTTCTCCCCCCTAGAATTTTGCCTAAATGGGACACCTGGTTGCTCTGTATTTCAATGTTGGGTACAAAAGAATCAGTTGTTGAGTTGCTGTAGGATTTGACATCCAGAAAGACCAGATTAGGGTAACATTAAATTTCTTTCAAAATCTGAAAGCCTAGTTTGGATTCTCAGGAATATTCCAGGAAAAGAGACACTGCAACTGGGATTTATCCCATGATTGACTCACAAGCTTTACTCTGTTGCCTGCGCAGAAACATTCTGGAACCTGGCTGGTTTTCTGCCAAAGAGTTTATCAACTTATGTGATGCAAGTCTAGAGTGGACTTTGGGATAACGGCAAGGATGGGGGTCGAAGGAGAAATTTGAAAAAATGAAATAGGTATTTCCTTGACCCAAAACCTCACAGACGTCGATCAGCATTGAGCCAGGTGTAGAGGTCGAAGTCACCATCGCTGATGCATAAAGGACAAAGCTCAACCCTCCCCCATCCTCCTGACCCTATCCACAGAATCTGAAGTGACCTCCCACCCCTGGGCACACATCAGCACATCATTTGATTGAAATGGACGACATGGGATTTCAGTTCGTATAAAAACTTCCAATAAAGTTGCAACCACGTGTAAACTTGAAAAGGATGACTTTTGTGGAGTTATTTATTACAAAAATATGGTCTCATCTGTTTTCATTAACAGTTTGTATTCCATTAGGCAATACAGATGTCCTGGAAAAGCAGTTGCTCAATTTCCATAAAGGCTTGATACATCTTGATGAGCTCACTGCTTGTATTAGCTTGTATGTACATGTTTAAAACAAGTTCATTGCATTTTTGCAGTCTGCTTCGTCAATGACTGTATTGGGGAACCCTGAAGGATCTCTGCTCTCTTTGATACTGTTCCTCCGATTCTAGAGAAGGTTGATCAAGCTGTATTTCAGTACCTTTTCCACAGCTGTGTGACCTTTGAGACCACATAGGTATTGAATACGTGACCCAACGGTGACATACTGGTCGGAATCTTTCTTGAATTACGACTTTTTTCATTCAAAGAGTGAAGGTGCTTCCTGGCAGTGTTGCTGTCAAGTCTGTTTCGAGTTCCTTCACAAATCCAGTCTCTCGACCAGCACCAGTGAAAGGGCGATCACTAGCAAAGGAATACTTTTGTCATTGTTTTCATGTACATGTACTTCAAAAGCATTGTAACTTGGCTCAAGAAAGAACGATGTGATGGACATGGAGGGACATGTGATGGACACCCACCCTGCAGTCTTGTTGCCATAAATGCCATAAATACATGTACAGAATATGATAACTTTTTAGCCACTGGCGATTTTTTGGCTTTGTGGGGTCACTGCGAGTGTTTCATCATGTCACTTTCCTCGACGGCTTCTATGAGTGTGTAAATGGTGTTGACTCCTCCAAAGTTCTTGGTGTCAGTCGTGGTCTCCACTTTCCGATCCTCCCGCTGCCGGTGCTGTCTCCCGTCACTCTCGGTCTGTTCGTTGTCCATCTGCAGCTGGACCACGTGAACCTCACGTCCAGACAGGCTGCCCGCGTCATGGGATTCACCATCACCTTGGTGCACCTCAATGACGTGCAAGTTCTGGGTGTGCTCGCTGTGAGCGATGCGGTCCACGCTGCCGCTCTGAAGTTCAGCATTTTCGTCTGTTAAAATCACAAATTGTGAACAAATCTGGATAACAGCTTCTCACACCTCGTTAATTTTTTTCTCAGAAAAATTTAAGAGGGAAATTTTACCCATCATCTGGCTTAACCGCTTTCGTCTGTTTGAGTCCTTCCGTCTGTTGGCAAACCAGTTGTAGACCTTGGAAGAAGTTACCCATTTACTCTCATGTACTGGCTCACCTGTTGTGAGAAACCAATTACATGTACATGTACAACTGACTTGTCTCTTGTCAATACAAGGATTGCTACACCTAGCCAAAATGTTTGTCAGAATTTGTGTTATGAGGACCAGCGGGCAGCAGTTCAAAAAATGTGGTCAGCACCAAGGCCTTAGGCTTTAGCTCTCTATAACAAGAATCTGTAGTCACACTTTTTCAATGTTGGTTTTAACAAGAGTCGCATGTAAAACTCAGTTTCCTTAATCTTGCAACAAAATGTTAGTTACATTGTAATTGTATTATTACTTGATTGATTGCACACAATCACTGACTGAAACATAGTCAAGTTGTTACAAAGTGTCTTAGTCACATCACAAGTCTTGTCTTGATTTAGGTGACATGTTCAAATGAACTGAACGTATTCCTTTGTCATTGTTCACCACATGTCATTTGTGCCAAATTACTGACTTAATGACAACTCTGGAATACAATCATCGACAACTTCAAAGCTCAAATGAAATTGAGATCTTAAATGGATATCTCCCTGTATGTTGTACATGTGCCAGGCAAAAAAAATTCCCAGTCTATTTTGAGCCATTAGGCTCATAGTGTTTATCTTTGGTTTCCTTGGCATGAAATGTCTGAGAATATATTTATTCCCCCCCCCCCCGATGGGATGCCAGTCCGTCGCAGGTTGCTTCCTCAGCTATTACTGGTACCCACTTGTTCATCTAGGTGGAGAGAAGCAACTACATGTAGGTTGGAGTGGCTTTCCTAAGGCCACAACTTATCACTGCAAGCTGAAATCGAACCGTCGACCCTCTGGTCAAGAGTCACCAACCTCAACCACTTGGCCTCCTACATGCCACATGCGGCATGACTCACACTGAGATTTGTGTACAAATCAAATTGCTGTGTTATTGGTAGAAATTGCACCATTCCGTCGACTACCTGATTGCTGGTATTCGCTGTTGCAAGCCTCAGTGATCTTCTCTCGCTCAAAGTCGTTAGGGTAGGGGTTCTTGCTGAAGTAGCTCTCCAGGATGCGGATGTGAGAATCCTTCCAGGTGAACCGCTCACGGCGCTTGAATGTGGGCAGGAAGTTCTCTCCGTTTGGACTGGTGTAAGACTGGGACAAGTCACTAGGCCTTGCCGGAAGCGAGCTGTTGTCCTGGTGTTCAAGGTCAGGTTGGCTACCTATGGATGCAAACGGACTAGACTAACTATCAGATTGTAAGAGTGTCTTGGCCAAAGATTTCTTTGGGTTAAAATCCTACAGTGTTAGTCTTGACAAGACAGAATTTTAAACGGTACGTAAATGTTTAAACAGTGGGACATAATTTTGAGGGTGAGGAAAGATACATGTACTATTGATCAGCAAGACTCAGACATGTATCACTTAGGGTTTTTTAAGCTAAGCCTACTGTACTTTGCAAAACTGTGTGTACTCCAGACATGATGTTTATGATCAGTACTGCGGGAGGGGGGAGAAATGAGTCTACGGTGTCAACAGGGAAGGAGGTGTTTTTAAAACAAAGAGAGCTTTTTTTTAGGACTACTTCTATGTCTCCTTCCCAAAGTGAGTAAATAGCCCCCAAGTTTAGCCCCAGTGCTCGGAAAGGCAATTTGGAGTCTTCAAATCCCTCCCCAAATAGTTTATTTCTGATCCACGGTGTGTCATCCCAATGGGGTTGTTTGGTAAAAGAAGCATTCCCCACTTGCTAACCCATTGAGTCCATGGGTATATGACTCCTCAACACCACTTGCAACCACTTCAGCATGTCCTGCCAAGACAATAAACCCTGGATTCAACTCACCCAAGTCCTCCATCTCCTTCTTCTTGCCAAGGTACCAACGGTAGAGGAGCTCTTGCGTGGAGCGTTTCATCATGAAGCCATGGGTGAGGAAGGAGGAGATGTAACTGGGACTGATCCCAGTTGCCATGGAGATCTGATTCTGTGACACTCTGCACTTGCTCATGAAGGCCCGGATGTCTGATTTGGCTGCCATTGGTCCCCGCCTAATAAGAAATACATGAAAAAAAAAAGAGTGACATGGAAATCATGATTAGAAAATTTTTTAAAAATTTGTGGAACAATCATGCCATGCAAAAAAATATGTAGTTTCCCGTCTATAATTTGTCAAAAATGGACAAGGTCTTTTTTTACACAATTTTTCAAAGTGGCGTCCATACTTTTGGGTTCTTGCTGATACTTTGTGTTAAGACTCCAATAGAAGAACAGATTGGGCTTCAGCCTGCTTTAAAAGGAACATACCCTGTCAGAAACAAAGACGTCAAAATACATTTCATGAATACCGTAAATATTTTAAATAAAAAAGTATCTGAAAACTAAAACAAAAAAATGAGAAAAAAAAAGAAAAGAAAGGAAAAAGAAAAGTAATATACAAATTTATCTCATTGCCTTTAAATTCGTGAGCGACTGCATCAAATCGGAAGACATGACAGTTCAATTAATTACCGAAACAAAATTTCCACTTCTTCGTCAGACACATTTGGGAAGTTCTCCACACCACACGAGACCTCTTGCGGCATCCTCTGGAGTCCAGTGCCACCTTGCAATCCGCTGGCTCCGCCCTCGATCTGAGTACCACCCCCCATCCCACCAGCCCCCCTCTGCATTCCAGTGCTGACCAACGAAGCACTGGATGCAACCGAGGACCTGCTTATGGCATAGTTGCTAGAACCTGTCTCCCCCATGGCTCCGCCCACAAGTGGCTGGCTCGAAGCCTGGAGTTCTGCATCCATCTTGGTCATGGAGTCTAATGCGTGTATGATGTCTTGCTTAGTGAGGCCTGTTCTGAGGAGGCGGTGAAGTAAAGAGATCTGCTCGATGGTATATCTTGGCTCAGATGACACAGTTGTAACTGGCGTGGACATCATCTGTGATATGCAATAATTACCGAAATGTCTGTGAGGAAGGAACTTTTTCAATAGGGCTTACAGGGTATCTTCAAGAATAGATCTAGAATCGCATTTGTTTTTCCTTTTTGATGGGGGTCATCTTTATGGGGGGGGGCCAACAATTTCATGTGAACAATTGTTCATGCAGGGACCTTTCTTGGGAGTGGGATATTTTGGGACCGTTTCAGATGCTTTTTGGAAAGAACTTTAAAAGCTCTGCACTCTTGCTGTTTTCAGTGTTTTACTTTAAGCAGTGGTCCACGTACATATATATACTTCAGTGGGCCTAAGCCTAATTATTGCTGACAAAAGAGCATATTTAAAGTCCAGCCTTGATTTGGAGAAAATAAAATTGTCACTGACATGCAATAAATTAAATCTCCATGGCCAATATAATTAATACTACATATATAGGCGGCAGATCCCCTAAACTGAAACAAGTTACAAGAAGACCAGTTAGGCCTAGGCCTATAACACATTTAGATAACCCGTCACGGTAGACTTTGTTAAATCATAGTGCCGATCTCTTATTTTTCAATGTTAATAATCATGGAACGTATTCTTCATCATGTCCATGTCATTTTTAACTAGGCCTATTCAAACGTTGGGGACAATAATTTCTCGAAGTTTGAACAAGGAGATTATTGAAAATTTTCATGATTGCTCTCGCGACAAAAAATTCAATTCTGTAGGCAATGCATGCCAATTCTTAAAACTGCAGTTCGAGCGCTTGGGGCTTAGTCCTACTGGTTTTGTTTTGATCATTTACGCGCTGACTTCGCGGTTTTTCTTCGCGAAAACCCATCGCCCGCGCACGGCACTAGCACTGTACTAGTCTGCGATCGCTGGTTAAATACGCAAGGCCATGGCAACAACTTAGTACAGTACTGGTTTAACCAGGCCTACATCAATCGCAGTAAACTAGCAAGCCAGTTTTTACTACAACTTCCCCCCGAAGTTCCCTGCAATAGATTGCAGATCATTAGCAAAAAATATCATTTGCGACAACACTGGATCACAAGCTTTGACATCGTTGCAGTAACTCACCTCGAAGTTGTACTTTTAACCAGCAAAAACCCGAATTTTTGTGGTGGTTATTTGTCGTTCACGTGCACGAAAACCATGACCGATTATGATAATTTATCCACACCCAGTTCACACGCGCGGTTGGACACCGTGGTTGGACAATGACCGCCGTTAAATCCGATTATTAATGAATTGGTCGTGTACCCAGAGTTCGTATCATGACAGAAAAATGTTTATTTTTCATTCTAGTGAGGTACCGACTTCGCTCGTTAAACGTTAATAAAAAGTTTCCCTTTGAAGTGAATAGTTTCATCCACCGTCAAAAGCTTCAAGCGTTTCTTCTCATTAAAAGCATTTGTAAACGCTCAACAAAATAGCTAGTTTTCCTTGAAAAAAATTAAAATATTGCAGCCATAATTAGACGTAAGTTATGGATTCTTTCAAAAATTCTCTACGGTATTTCACTACAATGTAGGGGGTTCTCGATAGTGGTAGATTCCGAAATCATGGCGGATATAAATTCTATCGGCGATGCATACGCATGGTGGTGCCGGACCAGCAGGTGGGGAAAGTGTTCATAAGCACACGTACTCGTCAACGATCAACGCGGGATGGAAAGGCCGCGATCCGGTAGTTCACAGAGCAGGTAAATCGACGATCTTCTAAGTAACCAAATTTTGTGGAATATTTTATTAGATTTAAATCGTTGAATTCGGGAGGGAGTAGATCTACTGAAGCCTAGGGCGTCTCGGAAGTGTGCTATTTTGGGTGCTAGCGCCGTGGACATTCCACGGACATAACGACTTAGGCCCAGGCCTTTAGAATGAGTATGAGCTAATGAGTATGACCACATGACGACGGATTGGACGGGGTATGGAGCTGACGACCATGACCGCCTGATCATGTCCTCGTACCCCAGAGCTGTGGTACGGTATGCAGGTACATGTATGGGGTCCGACGTCTCCCACGAGGCGGACGTCGGGCCCAAACTACACATGACACAGTTATGCATTTGTTCTGGGGGCAGTCATCATGTTCATCCATAATGGGGTACTTAATCTACGCTAGAACTTAGGCCTTACTTAGGCAGGGCGTGGCCATATGGGGGCTGGCTTTTTTGGGGGTTAGGTCTGTCAGTGACTGTCATTTGTATTCCATCGTGTTCATGGAGCTTGGACTTGAAGTTGGAGGAAATCCATTCTGTTACTAAGAAAAAACTCTACCTACCTGTCTACCAATGACCATTGTGCCGTGGATGTCTACATCATACTTGTCATAGTACATGTTTTTAACCCCACCGGCCAAGCTTCTGCAAGGAGAGTATTACTCCCTGCTACTAGAATGGGACCATGGAGCATGGTGGGGGATGGGTAGATTTGTTCCATCCATTTGACAGCAAAAGGTTAACAGCTTCACTCATGTTAAAGATTCACACGTGTACTATGTTTTTATCTGTTGTCAAAACACTTGCAGAAATTTTAAACCATTGGGGAATGCTGTTAACATGACTGGCCCCTAACTGTGTTTTTTGTCAATATACAACCAACATATAAACCTTAAAAGTTGGGTCATAGTGTTGTTTTTGTTCAGGTAATGCTGATCAGGCAAAATCATCTAGAAAGATACGGTAGACGTTACTTGTGAAAGTTTCAGTTCCATACTGTGTTTTACTGTTAAACTGATAGTGCCAGCAGCAATGACGACACTTTTGACAGTAGCATAGGCTCCATCCCTAGTTCACCATCCAAGACACGCCAGCGAACGACGTCAACAGGTACCATGCCGTCAAACGTCCTGAAAACCACAAAGAATCGGACGATCTACACCGCCGGTCGGCCACCGTGGTACGACTCACACGGCGATTTGAAAGAAGCATTTGTCATCGGTAGGCTACTTGTTGTGTGTATCTTTTTGCCCGTGTCAGGGGAGGGGGGATGCTGTGTACATCTGTTCTTGATTTGAATTTTGATTCATGTGGGACTGCGCGGCCAACACATTTCAAAATAGACAGGGGGGAATTCAACTTTTTCCAAACTGTCCATCAGTAAAACTTGTAAATGTTTTTGGTAGGGATTTATTTCTACACTCTAGGATAAACGTATTACTCAGGAAAGAGAATATTGAGGGACTAATAACCAAAACAAAAGAAAATGCAATGCATAGGCATGCCCTTGGAATAAACGTTCTACAAAAGTGTCAATAGTTAATGGAGGTCATTACTACAGTTCTCAACTTTAAATCGAGTTTTGTGACTCTACGCTGTGAGTGGATATTGGACTTTATGTATTGAAACATTGAAAGTAATATGTGTAAATCATTCTGTTCCTGGTTGCGCAGTGGGCACATATATTTTGAGTTTTTAAATCAGCATTTGAACTTTTTTTTTCTGTCGGCAGGCTTGTGTGGTGGTAGTGCCTCTGGTAAGACCACCGTAGCTAACCGGATCATTGAGGCACTAGATGTATCCTGGGTCAGCCTGCTATCTCTGGATTCATTCTATAAGGTAAGTAACCGCGGGGATAAATCAGATACTCTGCCCCCCCTCCACTATTTAGAAGTGATTGGTGTCCTTGCAACTAACTGATGGTTGAGTCCATGTGAACCATTGAGCATCCTAGTAATTGACTTTCCATTCGATTGAACATTTGAAAATGTCAGGTTACCTCAAAAGCAGGCTGGGGATTCTTCACGAACAGAATGACCGTGGTGGTGTTTTGTGTATACATTTACCAGTTAATTAGAAAAAAGAACTTCTGACGTACAACTTCTAACGCAATTCTTAAGATGCCTTTAAATTGTTTCCAAAGAATACTTTGTAAAATATAAATATTAATGAGGTTGGAATAGCGCTCAATAATAAAACGCCACAATTTTGGATCCCCTAAAAGAGGGATGGATTGATCTGTTTGGTACGGTTGCAGGTATTGAATGAAGAACAACATCAGAGAGCAGCTGAAAATGAGTACAATTTCGATCACCCAGATGCCTTCGACTACGACCTGGTCATACAGACACTCAAGAATTTGAAGGAAGGAAAGTGCGTTGAGGTAACAGAAAGAAAGCCTGTTCAGCATTGTTACTTGATTTCCGTTAGTCCAGTTATTTTCAATTTCTTCACGGGTCCAATCAGCAGTGTGCTGTACATTCTTATCGTAGAGTGCACATTTAGGTCAGCAATTGAACACTGGGTGTCTGAAAATGAAAGGTGCATTACCCTCCAATGATTTGAACAATAAAATCCTGTCACAAAATCCAGTCACTTGTGTAGAATACTTGAGAGGAAGGATTCATTCTAAAGTCAGGGTATTCAGGGCACTGAGGAAGTCTGAGATGCCTCTCTGCCATGAAAACTATGTTTCAGTGGTGTCATTTTTTTAAAACACCATTACAATCCACTTGTTAACTTTACTAGCATTTTTGTATGGTTCAAGTCATTGAAGAAAGATCTCTGGTTTTTCCAGGTTCCAATTTATGACTTCACAACTCACGCAAGGAGAAAGGAAAAGGTAAGATGTGCCTGTGTTTTGGGAAGTTCTGTAGATGCTGGATTTAAGAATTTTGTTAGAGTATCATCAGGTAGTTTGTTCTTTTGTGTCCATTCATCTACACGTACGTACTCCTCAAATTCTATTTCGTGTTCTTTTTTCCCCTCAGAAAGCCATCTATGGAGCCAATGTCATCATTTTTGAGGGCATTTTGTCGTTTGCAAAGAAAGAGCTCGTAGATGTAAGTATAGGTTTTCCATGTGGAAATGAAAAAATAACATTTTAATCTTGATTTAAAGTGCCTTCTTGTAACAAAGAGACTGTTGTTTTGAGAAGCCAACTGACAATATCTGAACTGTCTCTGTATTTAAAAGAATTCAATCAGAGCGATTCTAATCTGATTTCTACACCTAGCTCATGGACTTGCGGATATTCGTGGACACAGACTCAGATATCCGACTGGCAAGGCGGCTACGACGTGACATCTCCGAAAGAGGGCGCGAGATCGAGGGCGTCCTGAAACAGTATAATAAATTTGTCAAGCCGTCGTTTGAGCAGTTCATCGAACCAGCGATCCAACATGCGGACATTGTTGTACCAAGGGGTAAGGTTTATATCCTCCATTTTGAAATTTAGCTGCTTCAAGAGATTTAGAATGAGAAGAGATGAAACGTACTCCAACATTTCGTTGGCCTTCAACGTTTGAAAATTTGCCGTTTTATTCCTCAGGTGCGGAGAATGATGTTGCAATGGAGTTGATTGTTCAACATGTACATGATCAGCTTGAAAAGGTAAAATATACATAGAACAATTTTCCAAAGAAAATGGAGCAAATTGCTTTGTAATTTTGTTTGTTGAAGAAATTTGTCAAGGTTTTTATGTGTCGTAAATCTCTTAGCAACTCATGAATACTGACAGCTGCATTTTGAGGTAGGGTTCTGTGAAATGAAAATGTGATTGCATTAAAAATTTGGATGTCTAGGAATGTTATTAGTCAACTTGGCTTGCCTAATGCACTATTAAGGTACATTGCTTCAAAACCTATCCACCTTAGGCAGAAGCACCCCCTCATCGGTTGAAAAGAGCCACAACTCATTCATTTCACAGTCCTTTATGAACCAATGAAGTGCAATTCCCACCAAAGGAGCCTCCATTGCCAAGAAAATAGCGCCCTCTCTTGGACCTGCTCAGGGCCCATTGTGCACTGAAACTTTAGTCATCTGAGTTTCCAACCTGAATTGGACCGTTTTTCTTTTACTTTTGCAGAGAGGCTTGACATTTAGGTAAGTCAATTCCAAGTTCCCACTGTTGAATAACAATTTTCTTTGATGGTAAAGATGTCAGTTTTGTATGCAGATGAAATCATTTTCACTGCTAGACACTAAGAGAAAATTAGATAACTTTAACGCATTAACCACCTTTGTGTGTAGAGATTGCTTAGTAGTGACACAAATTTTTTTCCCCTTTTTTGGCCAGATCTAAGCTGCTCAGCGCCCATGTCAACCAACCCTTGCCAGACACGCTAACCGTGGTGGAGAACACCATACAAGTTCAAGGCCTGCATACTTTCATCAGGTATGCACGATGGTATATTGTACAGACTGAGAAGGCTTGCAATACTGTGACACGGTTTTCCTTTTTTTAAAACAGGAAGAAGTTCTTACGCTATAAAAAAAGGTTTCGTTTGTAGGGATCTTTAATTTGGGTTGTGCTCTTTATTTCTTATTTTCTCCTCGCCCAATGCTCCTGCTTGTTTGTGTGTCTGTTCATTTGTCTTTCTGTCCGTTCCTGTGTCCATTTGTTATCTTGATGCATTCAATGGAATTCTTCACAACAGGAACAAGGACACCCCTCGGGATGAGTTTATCTTCTACTCTCAGCGCCTAACAAGAATCCTTGTCGAAAGCGCACTGGCACTGTTGCCATTTGAGGTACTCCAGATTTACTTTGCCCATCGTAACAACCTTACATTATTCTCATTTCCGTTGCCATTTTTAGTTTGAACATTTCTAGTAATATTTCCCTTTTGCTCAGGACTGTGAAGTGAATACGCCTCAGAACACCATCTACAAAGGAAGGAAGTTTACAGGACGAGTAAGTCAATTTAAGTATTTCTCAAAATCACTTCCGTTTCTTCTCAAACAGAACAGTGACACCAATTTTTTTCCCCACTTTTTTTTTTGTAAAATATGACTTACTGTAAAACACATTTTATTCAAGATATTTTACTTTTCTTGTTTAAAAAAACAATCAATCGTAGTTGATTTAAATGGTTACACTCCGACATTCTCGTTTGTATGATAATGAAGTGTGGATTTAAATTGTACCTTTAACTGAACGGAATGTGAAATCCCAATCACTTGTAAACTAGTAGTCTGTCTTTATAAAGAATTATCAGCAATACATGAATATAAACTGATATTTTCTGAGGGCATAAATTGCCAGAAATGACCTAAATTTGAATGCTCTGTTTCTTTAACTTTTCAGTCAGAAGATGGTCGTTCAAAGGTCAGTTATGACAGAGCATTGATCCATGTATTTCCTTGGTTTGCTGACTTTTTGTAGAACTCTGCATTGTTATGTTTTTCGATGGCCACTGTCACAGCATCGTCCAACTTATGCCACGATTGGCTTTCGCCCTCTGTGAGACCACAGTTTTTTGGTGGCATGAATCTTTTCTGAAGTTTGAAAGGAAACCAAATGTTGGGTTAGGTCCGTTTATCTGGCTAGTAAAATATTTTTTGTTTGAATAAGTTTGGTGTTTTTTTGTAAGTTTCAGAATTTCCCAATCACTTGTAAACCGTCAAAGTTGTAAAGTAGTACTGATTGTATTCCTAAGTTCAGCCGCATCACTGCCAAAGTTCCAGAAATAAATGAGCTTTGAAGCTTTTCATTATGAAGGTGGCAGATTATGTAATAGGTTTTGGGAAGCACCATGCAAGGATATCTCTTTTGTGAGATAGGACCCGAGGGTACTCAATGTTTCAAAGAGTAGGTTCTTTTCAGAACCATACATGCTCACAAAACAGATATCCTTGCACGATGCTCCTGCAAATCATTTCACAAATTTGCATAATCATGATGCCAAAATATTTTGCATATGTTGATGAAATTGTCCCGACTGGCTTCTTGTATCAGGGTTTGGTTATAATAGTCTGTTTTTAGATCTGTTCTGGGACACTTTAACCTTAACAGGTCTGCATTTAATTTGGTTCGCAGTACTCAGTACTACTAAAATACTAAGCAGAAGTCTGAGCCTGAAGGACCTAGTGCTACAAATAACTACTTTTGGCTGGGTTACTTCCATTGTTACTCGTACAGAGAACAATAAAGCCATGCATTCATAGTGCCACAGCACTGTATGGTACATTGTCTTTTCTGTTGTATCTTATGGCTTCAGAGAACAATAAGGTCATGTCCTCTTACAAGTGACAGCGCTGAGTACTACATTTTACTACTAAGTAGTACTTAGCAGTATCCGGGGCTGTTAGGGTGAAGTGCACAACTGCCCACTTTGGGAGCGTGATAGCATTCCTGGATGTCGCACTGGAATGGAATTAGTGTAAAAAAGTCACTCGGGTTCCAGCTACATAGGTTTAGATCATTGCAGTCAAAGTAACATGTGTCTTCTTAGCTCCCAGCATCTTTCACAGTTGTGCTTGTTATTGATGGAGCCACGATATTTGAGCTAAGCAAATACGCTTAGAGAATTCCAAGGTTTATACACCACCTTAGCAACGTGCATTATTTTTCACAGTTGCTATCCTCAGAAAAGTTTCATACTGACCTGTTCTGTATAGAGAGTGAAATTTCGATGCTGGTTTCTCATTCCGGTTTGCAAAATATGTCACAGTAAGTTGTGTCATTTTTGACTGAATAATGTTTTTTGAATGGGTAATTAATTGCACTGGAATTGTTACCCATTCCAAATTGAGTAACTTAGTTTTGGGCTAAATTAGGGACTGTTGACATAAATATTCAGCACCGGGGAAGTTTGACAGCCGTTACATTGTTACATATTGCGTAAGCGGTGCCATAGTTAGCATTGCATTGCTTTTTTCCCCAAAGTGAGACTCCAGAATACAATTTTGAAGTTTAATGAGGTGTCGTCATATTTTTTTCCCTATTATCTTGTTCGATGGAGCCATGTAGAGCTTTACATCCAGCTGCAGCCTCTGGGGGTAATTTCATAGAGCTGCTTAATCACAAAATTTGCTCAAGCGCGAGAAAACCTTGCTTGATAAATCAGGTAACCAGCCAAAACCCCATGTGATGTATATTGTTATGAGATTGTATTTAGCTGTTTTGGTTAGCATGACAATCTGATAGAGTTTGAGCTGGTAACCTTTGTTTATTAAGCAAATTTTTTTCCCGCCAAGTTTTTTCCCGCTTTAGCATATTTTGTGCTTAAGCAGCTCCATGAAATTGGCGCCAGGCTGTCGTTTTGCTGTGATTGTTCATAGCATTTGTGGTTTGTTTTTTTAACTATTTTGCTGTTTTTCATGAAGCTTCAAATGAACATCATGCTTTTGATTCCTTACTGACACATTTTGCTAGTATCCAAAGTGATAATTTGAAGTTCTGCAGTCGCAGGTTAATTTGTTCAAGTACATGTAAGTGTCTGAATTTGTTGTTGCGGTGCGGTGTGGTTGTTGAGATGTCTGAAGACCACACAAGACCCCACAGGCCACAGCAACACAAGACCGTCAGTCTGAATACGGGCGAGTTTGGAATGCATTGGCCAATCACAATGTACAAAATCTGTTGACCTAGTGTGCATTTGGAAAGGGTCGACGGATTTCGTCTGTTGTGATTGGCCAACGCTTTGCAAACTCTTGGAGGTGCACTATTGTGAATCGCCCGTATTGCAACAAAGCACTCCTTCGTCACTGTTCACCCCGCTGCTTGTGAGTGGCCTTATGAATGGTGTTTTGCATGGTCTTTTGTCTTGTCTTTGGATGATCTCGACTACAATACTATGGCAGTGTGTAGTAACATTTAATGAAAAGACTTGCATTGTACTTTGCAGAATTATTTGAGATCAATCATTTATCCCATTGACTTTCATGCTGGATTTTAAGATGAATTTTAGGCTTGTGTAGTTTTTCAAGCAGAACTTTTGAAAACTGTGTTTGCTGTTATACAACTCCTAGCATGCTAATTTTGCACTGAAATTGTAGTTCATGTTTGTCCAGAATATAAGCAGCATATTTCTTGCTAATAGTTTGCTCTTGATGTGAATTTCATTTGGGCATTATGGTGTCTCGCCCCAAACGTTTTATGCAGGACTACAACAAATGCATGTGTGTTCAGTCTTGTTAACATTTCCCTTTTTGTTTCAGCTCTGCGGCGTTTCTGTACTGAGAGCTGGTGAAGTCATGGAGCCTGCTTTGTGCGACGTTTGCAAAGATATTCGGTTGGGGAAAATTCTCATCCAAACAAATCTTGACACTGAGGAACCAGAGGTAACTACGTATGTAAAATTTCTTCCAATGTTGATTTATGTTTTCACTTCAAGCCCAATCTTTCCAAGACCCTTCAAAACCTTTTAAAGACCAAGTTTTGAAAGTAAAGTATTATTGTGTTTAGTGTCTAATAAATCTTATATTCATTACCAAATCGTCTGTATTGCATCTACATTTTTTTGTAATTTTGCCGAAAGTTTTGAACAGTGTCTTTTGAGTTTATTGAAAAATTTCCACTATCTGACCACTGGTGGCACTTTTGAGAAACAAAATTTGTATGATGCAATACTGGAGAAAATATTGAAACTGGTATCCGTGGCACAACTGGTTCCGCTACAAATGAACATGGAGTTACATGTGCTTGCACTGCGTAGTGGGGATCAATCTGTGTGCCATGTCTTCTGTGCTGCATTATCGCTTTTCTGTTGAGAGGTTGTGCTCCTTTCTTCGTGATTTACAATAATGCTGAGATCGTGTGTCATTGGTGGGTTTACTAGAAATTTTGGGATTGAAATTCTTCGAGTTTCCGAAGAATGAGAGCATTCTTCAAGTTCGTGCTGTTGTCTGCAGCTACGCCTGCTTTGCATGCTTAAAGTGCACGCACTGTGGTATTTCCTGTCCATGGTAGTACATCACAAAAATCAATATTCATTAGATGCTAATGAGTGATGATGACACATCCATTTTTTACAATACCAGACTCGTAGAGAAAATGAGTACAAAAACTGTTTTTTTATTTACACAAAAATTTGTGTTGCAAGGGAGATATTGATATGTGCCACTTTTATTAGACTTGGCTCTTCTGAATTAGATTCAATATGAGGAAAGTTAGCATCGTTGGAGTTGGTCTTTACATGGAGAAATAAAACACTTTTTATTTCTCCATGGTCTTTAAGGGATCGAGGCAGAAAAGGCCCGGTCACCTTTACTTTGCATGGGGATTAATGCCTCTTGAAAATACAGTGCAAAGAGTGTGCCTTTGGTTTCTTGCACGGTGAAGGATTTTCCAAGATTCAGCAAAGTTCCAAGCAAAAATGTAATAGGGAATTCGGCAGATCATAAAACCAAAAAACTTAACTCGCCCAGATTTTTAAGGGGGAAGAGGAAGCCTTTTGAAGTCTTTTTAAAGATGAACAAATGTTTTTTTTCTGACATCACAGGAGTCTAAAGGGGCTACACCCTGTTCAACAGTTCAAATGAAATGTAACAATACTTTGCATAGTTGAAACCCCCCCCCTCAAAAAAATGAAAACGGCCAGGGAAAAAGAATTGGGTGGGTAGAGTTGTGGGGTTTTTTGTTTTGTTTTGTTTTGGTTTTAGGTCCTGAAGTGAGTCAGGCTTGACGAAAAAAAAGTAAATCCATTTTGTGTGAAACCCATACCAGCTTCGGTTCATCTACATTAAATGTGCATCTATTCTCTGCATAGCTCCATTACCTTCGGCTTCCTAAGGAGATTGAGAAGGATCATGTGATCCTGATGGATGCTACCGTGGCAACAGGAGCGGCGGCCATGATGGCAATCAGGGTACTGCTGGATCATGATGTTCCTCAAGAGAACATCATGCTGCTGTCTCTACTCATGGCAGAATCGGGTGTGTCTTTTCAAAAAAGGCTGATCTGAAGTTTCAGTAAAAAGAATCGGGTAATCTGTAATCGGAGCGTTTTAACTTTGATATGTTTGCTCATGATTGTGCTCCAACCTAGCAAAATGAGCCACAAGTGGCCAGAGCCATTTTTAAGTTTACAGGTTTTTAAACAAATCTTGTACAGTAGAAATTAAAAAGAATTCTAACATTTCGCATCTTAATGATGCCCATTTTCATCCAGATACCGGATATAGATTGAAACAGAGCTCTGTTTGCTCTTTCTAATACAAAACACAATGACTGAAATCAGCCTTAAGACTTATTTTGTGGGATCCTGTAATTTCTTTTCTTTGTCTAGGGCTAGGTCTTTTCCAGTTGCAAAAACATTGACAAATGCTGATAATAGACCTAGCCGTAGCTCTAGAATTCTGTTTTGAATGTGTGGCTATGACTTGTTTCTTTGGCTGTTTTCTTTAATAAAATCACGTTTGGGTCTTGCTGATTTGTCAGGCGTTCACACAGTTGCATATGCATTTCCCAAAGTCAAGATTGTGACGACGGCAGTGGACAAGGAGGTCAACGAAAACTTCCACATAATCCCTGGAATAGGTGAGTGAAAAATGACCTCAGAAATTTGTATGGGAAATGTTGATTTTGATGGCTTTTGAGAGATATCTTGGGCTTTGGTACAGGGTAATGTTCCCAAATATTGCTCTGATAATGTGGCGCAGTATATCCATGAATACAGGAGTTTCGATGACTGAATCCAACACCTTGTAAATTTGGAGCAAGGTTGGTTTTAGGTTTGGTGTTTTTATCATTCAAAATTGGGTTAATTCTCTGTGGTACTAACATTAAGTTTGTCGTCTCCTCACAGGAAACTTTGGTGACAGATACTTCGGCACATAGCTCCGGTTTACATTGGGGATCTGTCAGGTCAAAGTTCAAACTGAGGGTCATCAAACTGACAACTGCAGAGTACCAATGTTTAACATCCCCACTTTAATGTTCCATATGTCTGATGGATTTTGCTTGTGGTTCTCAAAGTGTCAGATTCAGACCTTTGGCCTTCGTCAGTTTTTGTCCTCTTTTTTACACTTTTAAAGAGTCACCTTTTCTTTGCAATTTGGTGGGAATTACAAAATATACGAAAATGTTTGAAAGCACACTTGTTTCAGTGCTTGATTTTATTTTCTGAAATTTAAAGGAACTGTTGTCCATTTTGTTCCGTTCTAATAATTGGATTAACTCATTCATTAAAACTTGACAACCAAATACAGGCAAAGCGATGTTTTCTGAGAAAAAAATTAGTTTGAACAAAGTTGTTACATTAATTATGTGTTTAACACAAATAAGAGATTCTGCACAAAGTAGATACTTGTTTTCATTCAAAAGTTAATTTAATGAAAGATCATGGATAATTAATAAAAATCAGGTACTGAATTATAAGAGAAATATAAACTGACACTTCCAAAAATCTAAAATGTTCACGCAGTTTGTTGAGAATTGCAATTCAGTAATTGGCTTTCTGAGAAGACAGGTATGTCATATCCAAAAATAGCACTAATAATATTCTGTTTTTAATAGTCTAAGTCTTTTATTTTGTAAATAACACAAAAATATTAAAAGATGCTTTAAACATACACCTTGCAGTTGACTGTTATGTGCTGTAAATATCTCCAACACCGAAAAGGTTTCAGTTATTTTTATCATGTTGCAGCAAAAAAGGAGGAAAATATGCAAATCCCTGTACAAAGTAAATGGAGAGTTGCCCCATTGCCCAGACGTGAGCGTAATAAATGGAACAACCTCCAACCACGAGATTATAAAATTAGTGGCTGTGGTTTACTGTAGTGTTGCAGTTTGGATTTATTGTAGCTCTCTTTTTGTTCAACTCTGATCTGAGGGTGCAGTTCCAATTGCATAGAATCAATTGCATTCAGCATAATTAGACTCAAAGATAAAGTGTATTACAAGTTTTCCCTCATATCAGTGTGAACATTAATGTATTATCAAAATTCTCCCGAGGGTCCCATGCACAACGTACAACTAAAAACAACTACCTGTTTGGATTCTAACCACTAAAAAAAAAATGAGTACATAGAAAATAAAGGCAATTAATTTATTTGGATAGTAATGGCTAGAACTGCAGGTATCACGGGCAAGACTGATATAAAGAAGAAATGATCATAATCTGGGTAATACTATTACCAATTCGAATACCTAGTAGTATATCTTTCCCTACTCACAGATTTATCAATTTTATTGCGCCTGATTTGTTGCTAACTTGGCCCCATGAGAACCTGACAAACCCTCAGAATCTTGAATGCCTTGTCAGAACTACAACGCCCACTAACACACATTCTTAACTGTCAGGATTTATTCAGGTAGACACTTTCATTGATATCTTTAACAATGACCCAGTTCGGTATTCCAACAGCGTATGCCCAAATAGAAGTGTGTTCGAGGCTGGCTATTTGGGAACAGTAGAACGCATGCACAGTTGTCTGTCAGAAATGCCGTGCGCCAACTCATGCATGTGTCGTTCTGAAAAGACTGTCTTTTTGAAATACCAGACTAGCTCATTCACACAATATCGCAAGTATTGGCCTTGTTCAGTGGCTTTTGATTTAAACACCTGTCGTGATTACCAATTGTGCTGGAGCACGCTGCATTCTTCGTCAGTGCTTACACATAGTGGTTGAGGACACACTCGTACTTCTCCTGTTCACCCGAGATTTGAGATGGAGCTCCATGCTTCTTTACATAGTCCTGCAAACAATATATAATATGTCTTCGTCGACAACTTTCCTCTTGGCATATTAGCACTACATCAATAGTAGTTCTTTCAACAGCATTTTTTCCACGCGATAAAAATTCTAAAGCTAACAGTCTTGACTCCTCCAATTTCCGTATGATTTTTCACACTCCAGGGGGTCAGGGTTAATATCTGGTGATTTTGCTCCTTTTATACCTCCAACTATCCGCCATCTCATAACCTATTTTTATTAATGCCTCGGAGCTATAACTATCAAACCTTCAAGATAGGTTTTGATGACTCAAACTACAAGCCAGGGAGCAGGACCAACAGAAAGAGGGTTGATGGATCTCAAGCAACAGTTGAACGATTTTTTTACCTCACACTCTTCCAGTGTAGCTGTCCCTGTTTTGATCTTTGCACCGATACCCTCCTTGAAGCTACTGTAACGGTCCTAAAATTTGGAAGAATTCATTTGATTCTCAAATTAAGCATTCAATAACTGAACCCTCGAAGTAATGAAATGTAGCCCTTCTTAGTCTAATAAATCAGTCAAGCGAACCTGTTCCTTACAGGCCTGCCACATATATAGCTGTCTCTTATGACCTAAATCTTACATTGCCGCAAGTTCTATAAGAATCCATGCACTATCCCAAGTTCTGTTACAAGGCACCACTAACAAGGAAAGTAAAAAACTACACTAAACTATCAGACATGGATGAGGCTTGGGAACATCCCCTGCACCCACAAACTGCCCAAGTCAAGGACGTTCTTTACCTCCACCATTTTGGCCATGGCTCCTTCGGCCACCAGTTTGACCGCGCAGCGCAGGCCCCTGGCAAAGGAATCCATGGCACCGATGTGGGCGATGAACATGTCCTGGAGGTTGGTGGATTCACGGCGGACTTTGGCATCGAAGTTGAGGCCTCCCGGCTCGAGCCCACCCTGCTCAATAACAGCCTGGAACACATGAGAGGAAACGGCCTCGGGTATGCAGTCAAGACCATCAGGAAACCAGATACAAGACCAGTCACAAGTAACAGGGTGAAGAATGACAAAGGAAGGCTTTTGTTGCAGTTCATTAAAATAGCTTCAGACGAGAGCTCTTGAACTTGTGTTGGTCTAGTAGGGTCCTGTGATGGTAATCAGGACTAAAACAGTGAATAACCTTTTGCTAACATATCCTCTTAAAATCTACCTTCTTCCAATTTTGATCCAGCATACTCAATACTCTTGTTGGTACAGTTCTGAAAATGCTTCCACCCACTTACATAGGATTCTACACTTGGAAGTTACCACACACGATAAATATTTTGAAAGTGAAACGACAAATCTCAATTGACAATTTGGAATTAAAAACTACCATTAGTATACAATGTACAGAGCAACTGTCAATCCTTTGAACTGTCATGTCAAGTGAGCATGGATCGTTAGTATAAATGAAGTATTGTATAGACTAATTTGAGAAGATGCCATAACTGCTGTGGCACTGCACTTGACCTGCTTGGGCATTTGGCAAATAATGCCACTCTACCGGTTGACGCGTCATGTAATGTGCACGTACCACCTGTCCACGAGCATTGTGTCACAACAGTAATGGCTTCTAATTCTGGTTGTCCAATTACACTAAGGGGGAGCACAGACATCTGGGAGTTTCCCAAAATTGCGGGTGGCGCTGGTAGAACAACTGCAGCGAGTGCGCGTGTATGGACTGATCAAAGGAAAGATTGCGTAACCCGATCCTCGGACTGGCTGATGCATGCGTACGTCACCACGGTCTCTGTTTTCACCGGCGCATCACCTGCCATTTTGTGAGAATCGCGGATGTCCACCCTGCCCCATACCTTCATGACAAGTGTAGTGTCTCGGATGTCCATGGGGAACTGGTCGGTATCCCACCCTAGGTCAGGGGAACCAGTGTTGGAATCCACAGAACCAAGCATTCCAAACCTGCAGGCCATGGATCATGGAGAGAAATAATTTTTTTGAACAGGCACTATTGCAGCATGGGTGTCCCCGAAAACAGGACACAAAATGGCTTTCCGTGCACTTGTGTATGTGAAGTTGAGCACAGGACAGCATGTGAATCTGAATTAATGCATGTAATACACTTGAGTGTGTTTTCATCAAATACCATATTTTTCCCATCAAACTTCTGACGTGAGGACGTGAGCTTCCAAAGTTACTCTACTAAAATCTCTCAGACCTAGTCTGTGTCCAAATGGCTTGGCTACCGCTGCCAATAGCGCAGTGGCTGATGGAAGCCACTAGCTAGCGGCTGACAGCCATATCCCATAGACGTGTATGAGTTGCAGTCGCAGCCTGTTAAGTAGGACATGGACTTACTTGGAAGCCAACACAATGTCGTGCTCATATGGGTGGCCAGCCAGCATCGTGTGGTTAGGCTCAACGTTGATCTTGAAGTCATCGGCTAGCCCGAAGTGTTGAAGGAATCCGATAACGGTCATCGCATCTGAATGAAAGGGGGGGGAGATAAGGATAAAGAAATGATGGCTCAAACCCATTCAGAGACACTCTCTCATATAGACTGAAACACATGCACCTGTAGTTATATTTGTTTGTGTGGGTAGTAATGCTTTCGTTTTGACTTAATTTCCAGTTAGTCAAGTTTGATGTTGGGTGTGGGAAATTGAAGGGTTTGGAATGAAATGGTGTGGGGGGGAGCTAAGCATGAAATTAATTTCAAAGACTGATTTGATGACCAGAATTTACTGTGGTGCTCTGCTTGTTCTCAGGTAATGCATACTCATTCAACGTCCTGTTTTAAAAGCAATTATCCCTTAGGATACCGATTAGCTTACCATAGTCATATTGATGTCTGGTTGGTTCCTTAGGCTTTGGCTCAATCAGCAGCTGGCCCTCAAAGCCAATCTTCTTCTTGTAATCTGTAAAATTGAATATAGAAGCTACGTAAAAATTCTTGAAAAACAAATTAAAATTCTGCAGCAAAGCAAAAGGCAATTATGTATTCCAAATAAGTCAAGAATGTTGGAATGTTGCTCCAATCAACAATAAATGCTACGACTAGTTCATATCGGCATTTGTACCTTCTGCTCATAGCTGTTTATTCTTTGAATTTATTCAACGAGCGTTCTGATAAACAGATCAACAATGTCTGAAAGCAAGCAGGAACTAATACTCACCAACGGCCATCTTGAAGAAGTTGGCTGCATGGGTGAGCTCAGCGAGAACGTCGGTGTTCAGGAGACTCATATAGCCCTCACGACCACCCCAGAAGACTGAAAGATGAGACAAAATATGGGACTTGCATAACATGGCATACTTCAGAATACGGGGACATATTTATCCAACAAAATAACATAATTAAGGGCTGTGGACTACTCACAACTTTTCATCCGTAGGCTAGCTGACTGAAGTTTACAATATATCTAAATGTGAGTATATGTAATGTCACTCATTTGAGTAATAAATCATAACTTGAGTATATGTACTCTTGATTATGTGCCACATCAGTGTACAGCAGGAATTAAGCAGTGTTGTTCTGATAAAAACAAACAGAGGTCTTCATCACATAACTCCCTAAACTGAACAGTAATTGCTTTGATGAATCTCTGCTCTCAGCAACCATGTTCTTGGCAAGTTGGACGTTGACAGCAGGCCTTACCAAAGTTTTCAGCTCCGAGTTTCTTGCCGATTTCCAGTCCCTTTTTGACTTGGGCCGCAGCGTACGCAACGACATGCGCATCGGGGTTGGTTGCTGCGCCATTCATGTATCTGACCAAGGCAACATTGATTTTTTTTCACATTCACAACAACCAAAAGATGTGATTAGTCAAAATGCTCAAAAACAGAATGTCAAACCAGTACATGTTCACTTTTCCTCGCACAAAGTCTAAATTTAATCCTAACAACCTTTTCTTTCCAGACCTGCAGGATCGTCTATTCCATGACCAACTTTTTGAAATTTGGTGCGCATGTGAAGACACACATTTTGAGTAGTGGTACATATGCAAAGTTTCAATTCAATCCTTTAAATTTGATAATCTCACAATAGGAAAAGTGAACATTTCTTTGACCAATCTGTCCATGTACAAGTTTCATTAAATTGGTACCAACTCCTACTGAAGGCTCATCACGATAAAAAAAAATGCACTGTGACAATATTAAAGAAAAATTATTCTCATGCTACACCCAACCCAAGCTCTTTTCCAGTTACCTTGGATGGGAGAACAAGTTGCATGTGTTCCACAAGAGCTTTACTCCAGTCCGGGCCATCAGCTCCTTGGCCAGGTCAGTGATCTCATCCAGGTTACGGTTGGTTTCCTCCAGTGTGGCTCCCTCAGGTGCTACATCCCTGAGCAAGATAATGACAGCGATCACAAACGTTCAAGACAACTGTTTTGGATATTTTTTATCATAAGCCATGAGATATAGTCTCGTTTGTTGCAGGTACTGGCATCAAAAGAACTGAGCTCACTGTTTCAACTCGTACGTTCCAACTTGCATTAAAGTTGCAAGTAACACACCTGTCATGGAATGTCCAGTACTTGACACCCAGCTTGCTAAAGAACTCAAAGGCAGCACGCATGCGTCTCTTGGCATTTTCCATACTGTCACTGCCTACATATTACAAGGGGCCAAACAAAAATTCACAGGGTTGAGGAAGACATGAGTTTCAAATGATTGATTCGTTTATAATTTGAAACAAGCCTAGATTATGATCCTGAAAACAAATAAATACTAAGAAACAGTCTTTAGCATTCTGAGAAGTGTAACAAGACTTGAAAAAAAAATATGTGTAGGCTAGACAGGTTGGTTGAAGTTAAGCTTTAGCAGTGCCATGCATGGCAGGGATTAACATTCCGCGATGTTGATGTTGATGAATGCCATTTATGAACATGTTCAGGTGTTATTCAAGACAACAGTAAACTGGACAGTAAGCCGATAGGTGTCCCTTGCTACCAGCTCTTGCAATCTTACTCTTTTCTCCAGGTTGATACTTAAGTCAAGTTCTTATAACATTCCCTCCAAACCTCCAGTGAAGGACAAACTGTCCTTGTACTTTTTCTGAGACCAAGTTTTTGTTTTGGAAAAATTAGATCATCCTGCTTTACGGTGCTGGGGTCGAGACCATCACAAGACCTGACGTCAGACCCTTCCTAAGACCAGTCGCAAGACTGGTCATAAGTAAAGAAAAGAAAGATAACAAAAGAATGCTTTCCTTGCCATTCATTTGAAAGCTTCCGACTTGAATTCGGAATGAATTCCTGTGGGCTCTTATAATGGTCTTGTGGGGTCTTTAGATGGTCTTAAGAGGTCCTGACTACAACAATAATGCCTGTTCCTTATGTACATACAACAGAGCTAAAGACTAAAGTGAAGCATGCCTCAATTATCTTTTCGGGACAAACCCAAGAATTATAAAAGGGGTGGGGAAATTATGGTAGGGTTGCAGGACAATAGGAACTGACCATCTTCCCAATGTCTCTTGATGGTGGGGGCTCCAAAGGGGTCCAGACCTACTCCCCTGAAGGTGTGCCAGTAGACGACGGAGAATCGTAACCAGTCCTCCATCGTCCGCCCATTAATGACCTGGAACAAAATGACCTGGCATTTTTATGCTGCTTCTGGACATTCTCACTAAGAAACTATTACCCAAATCTAACGCAGTGTAAACTAATGGTACTAAAATTGTTGGTCGCTCCTAAAGAAGTCTGGGACTTCCAGACTCCATGCAAATACATCTCAACAAGAGAAACTTAAGTATATGGTGAGTGCACATAGATGCAAAAAGTAACTGTGTGGAGATAAACCATAGAGTAGAACCAACTGCTGGTTAGCTGTGGCCACAGAGAAAGGCTGTGTTTGTTTTGCCCAACGAATTATGTAACTCCTTCCAAGAATTATGTAACTCCTCCCAAGAATTATGTAACTCCTCAGTAAAACCGGTATCAAAGACAGTGCCTTGTTGATCTTGTGATTACCCCTGGGGCACTGACTCTTGGGGACCTGGAGGACACCTGTTGTTCAAAATGACTTGCAATGGTTAACAAAAATAAGCTGAATAGATGAGATACTTTGTAACTTTTAAATGGTATGCAAAGTAGTGGTTGCAAAGGACTGCCTTTCCTGTAAAACTTGTAGGTCTAAAAACAGTTGCAGCTCACTCCATCCAAACTTCTGATTTTCGCCAGCATGTGCACAAAAATTCACTGAACACCATCTACAGAGGCTGTTAAAAATTCATCTGTTAGCTATTCGTTTACATGGCAGTTCACGAGTAGGTAGACGAACCAAACTAAAACAACTGGAAACTAAGCTTCAACATGTCACAGCCAAGTACATGTACACATTTCATGTATTTTAACATGTTATGGTGACTTTACACATACCTCCTTAGCATTGTAATGTTTAAAACACAGCACATCGGTGGGTCCTGCATTGGGTCTGTACTCAATTTTGCTTATACCTACAAAAATATGAGAAATTTGAAAAAGTTCTTCAATATAAAATTACAAGACCACCATCCATGACTATATTAAAATTACTGTTAACATGAAGTCCACATCATACATGTATCCTGGCTATTGGCCTGAGCCTAATTGCAAAAGCAACCCTGACAAGTGACAACATTAAAGTGGAACAGTGCTGGCAAAGTAATGCTTTAGGTCTACCAACACTTTTTCTTGGACATAATGAAGCCAACAATCTCTGCACGATTTCAGCATGATTGCTGCATCTCTTCCCACCTGTCATTCCGCAACCATACCACAACCATGGAGCTTGGCCTATGCACACGGCAGTGCGCGGCTGCCTAGGGACATACTGTGGTGTGCTATCATGGAGGAATATCCATGCTAGTAAGTGGTAGTAGCACTCACCACAGATCATAGAGCAAGGACGGAGAGATGCACTCACTCACCCTTAAAAAACTCTGTCGAGTCTTCATGGTTTTTGGAGTCATTTTCCGCCGATAAACGGGCCCGTTTGGCCTTCGATCCTTGAGACATTGTCTTCGATCTCTTCAAGCCCGATCAAGAGCACAAGTATCATAACAAATTTACGCAACAGGACGAAGACCCACCCCCTTCTTGCCCTTGCGATCTGCAAATCCCGTACAGCTGTTTCTACCTGCTAAATGAACAGACGGTCAAAGGTCATTCGTTACTGTAACGGTGCTGTTGTAGTATTCGGACTTACTCCCTACGGAAAACTTTTGTGGATAGAAGCTGGAAATTCCATGTAGCTTTTCGAACCGTATTCCAGCGAAGACTGTTTGCGTGAAACGTCATTACGTATAACAGGCACTGTAGTAGTGCTAAATGGGAGGGGCTAACCAAAGTTGAGGGTGAAAACTTCACACACAATCCTCACCAAAAACACGGCCATAACAAATTTTCGCTCCACTTGTCTTTCCCTATACCTATTAAAATGTTTTCCTGTAGCTAAAACAGTGTGCTGTCATCTTAATATAACTCCATTACCAAGCAATTTGAGTGGTTAACAAGTAATTTAACCACGATTTAAAAAAAATCAAGAAATTAGTGCATAGGTATAACTTCAATTGTTTATTCTGTTTGTGTTTGTAAACAATTTTCTTCAACTTGGTCAGGTACTGCAGATATATTGCAGCACTATATTTTCTCACCTGCATGCGCTGTCCTACACGCGCATTTACATACGCTGCAAAGCGGACCCTTGACCGACCGCCTGCCTGTGGTGTTAATAACTGTCAGAAATTATCCAATCCAAGTGTTCATTTAAGTTCTTCTGTCCAATTAACATCCTCGAGAAAGCTCGTTAGGCATGACGGGTATGTCGTGGACACTCATTTGCTGGCACGATGAAAAACAGAATGAATTTCTTTGTATAACTAACACCAGTTTTTAAATCAAACGTAAACAGCTTAAGTCGGTAATTTTTTTTATTTATTATTTAACTATAGGCTAAAAATAACCCACAAAAAATATATCCTTGCAGCAGAAGTCTTTTTAAAAGTTTTTGCGCATTGATAAGTCTACCTGAGTGATACGACCGCAGCAGCCGCTTTCTACCGGACCCGCCGCGGAGAAATTTCACAATTACATTAATTGCGGCAGATTTTTTATCATGTCTCACCGCGATGCACCCGGGGAATTTTGCGGCCGAGTTTCTGTATGTTTTGGTGATTTGGAATACTTATGTGTGACCACCAAGAATTATGCTTTCTGTAGACCTAACTGCGGAATAGTTTGCCGACGGAAAACATGTTTGTTTCGACAGAACCGGCAGCTTCGTTTGCTTGTTATTTGCCGCGTACAGTTTGGAACGGTGGTGAACTCCATTAAGTTAAACGTCATTTACTTGAACCGAATCGTTCGCTGGCTTTAGAGCAGCATTGCCCCAAGAATGTTTTGAGAAAGTTGGCCACATTTACTGTGCTGAGGATAACGATAAGGGAATGAACTGTGATTGACTGAACTTGAGGATGTGTCTACCAAGTAGTCCTCCTGCATGGCCTATACAACCTGTTGAACTCACTCGGCCTTGAACAGTTCAACTGATGCCTGCCAGCCATGCCTGCGCTGAGATTTCTATGAAAGAACATCTGATCTGGCAAGTTGTGGATACTGAAACCATTTCAAGACACTTGGATAATATAATGTGCTGCTTGTTACTGAATGATATCCCCAATAAATCTAGACGGCAGTTTTCAGCATCGGTAAGTTTTATTTCCTCGGAGACCTGGAGGTAAGTGGGGAAGTTCTTAGAAAATTGTTGAGTTATAAACTGATACCATGTTTTAAAAGTGGAGATGTCACCCTAATTCTGTCATCATTAGTTGTATGTACCTTCCCAAGAAATTGTTGTATCTGTTAGCCGGTTAAGTATTCACAAAGTAAAGACTTACTGTTTTTCAGGATTTACAGTGACGTTAACTATTAGATTGTTATCATGTATCGATAGCCTTAAATTATTTAAAAATGACCCGTGTTCACAGGTTGTATACAGAGAGATCACGATGAGCTGATGAGTACATGAAGTAAAACGTGTTATTATTGTCAAGTTTAAAAAAAACAGGGCAGAAGGACTGAATATGGCTGAAATGTGCAGAGGTATGTTCGGAATGTTGGCAGACTATCGGACTTATGAAGTTCTTGCTCGCTCGGCTCAAAAATGTAACACATCTGAGGAGTATACAGTGATTTAAAAAACCTTTTGTGCATTGCACAAGTACAGTGATCGATTTTTTTCAACGCTGCGTTCCACCCGTGACATTCGCTCCTTGTAATTCAATCGAGAGTCAAAATATGTACAGGTAGACGTTTGTTCTCGTCGCGTAAACAGCTGTTGACTGTCTCGGTTCTTTCTCTGTTCCACAATGCAACGGAAGAAGTTTCAGATTTGTAAAGATCGAACGCACAAGCGACAAAATAAATAAGTGAGGAGACAAGCCGGAAACACACGCCCAAGGTAACATAATTTGATCTTAAGCCAAGTTAGTATGTTTATGGAAATTAGCAATGATATATTGGATGTAATAATAATTATTCGTAAATAATTTGCCTAACTGTATACTTACTATCTTTGGATGCAGGCCTAAGACTTTATTAGAGCAGGTAGGCCTAATTGGACTGTGATAAATACTCAACTATAGGCCTTGTGCAAGTAATTCTAAGTAGCACATTATAGCAATAAAACTACATGTATACTGCATCACAGAATTTTGTATATTTGCCATAGGTAGCGGCCTCTTAATACTAGTTGGGTAGCTCAATTGTAATTTAAATGTAGGCCTCGTTCTGATGAAATACTTTACGTCATCATTGGCCTAACTAACAGCACAACTTCAACGGCATATCCAGTTTTGGGTGGGGGGGGCAAATTCAGAAGCGAATGCTGCTTCGGGCTTATTCAACATGATGTTGGGGGAGAAAAAACATCAAAAGCCTTACTCGCGGCCCTGACATTCTTGATTTTATTTCCGGTTTGGATGCTAATATTTGGTAAATAAAATAATTGTAAATATTGATATTGGAAGTCCCCTCCCCCGCTGGATACGCCATCTGCACAGCTACCCCGAGTGCGGCAGATCGAGTTTCCGTTAATGTGCACATTTGGAGAAGTGAACTGGAATTCACTTTTCAAGATTACTATTCAATGAAAATTTGCGAAAAAAATCTTACACATTCTTTCATATTTGTAGGTTGTTTTTAAGTAGCCTAAATGAGTTGGATTATATCACTGACGCACGCGTTAAGTACTGATCAACATCATTCTTCGGGATGAGAGACTTTAAACTGTAGGGAAAATGCATTTTTAAGGAGGAAATGACACATAATGAAAAATTAAGTACTATCGTGAACAATACATGCGAGTATACTTCAAAAAATTGAAATTTTAATTAAACTTATTTTTTATTATTTTCTCTGCCTCTTCAACAGGTCTCTTCTTCAAGTGTTTGATATAGGGATTTCTTCATTTACAAACCTTAGGGTGACATCTCGACATTTCCCAGAGATATCAGTGGTTAGTATCTTTAGTAATAAATGAAGTTTAATGCTGCCTTCTATATGCTTCCGCCAGCAGTAACACTGGCAGAGGCCGTGGGAAGAGGTTAGCCGTCATCCGAAAATAATCCCAGCCAAAATGGTTGGGGCACAGCATACCTTCGCAGGTGGCACCGTAGCCCTCGTTTCCCCCGGGCAATGTTGTTACATCTCTAGCTGGAGCACAGACCGCGCAATGTGAGACAACATTGACGGGGGGGGGGGGCAGCGAGATTTGGCCGGGATTGTTTTCGTGGCCGTTTCGAGTGCCGCACGTGTAAGGTTCTTTGGTCTGAATAGCGCCCCCGTGCGGTAGTCATACATTTCGCTAAAACTCAGTGGTGATACAAGCCTGCTTAATTTTGTTTTGAAAAGGAGGGTTAGTAGTATGCTAAAGAAAACAAATAAACAAATAAAATACAAAACAAAAACAGTGAAATTCCCTTTGACAGCACCGCACCCCCTCTTAATTGACTCAAACCCAAATTTGACCTGCCAGAAGAAGATTATAATTGAATACCTGATTAAAAGAAAGACCGAAACTGCACCATTTTGGCCTATGACCGTTAATATTGATTTCCTTTGCAACTCCTTCAAATAATATTCAGTTTCCTCTTATTAACTCATAAAGGGTTTTGTTGGAGTTCGGTATTCAGTTGATGTCCTACCCAAAACTGGGTTGATCCTCAACACTTGCTGCTTAATAATGGTATACCCTTAGGGTAAAATGCACAGAGAGGACTTCCTGGTCTTTTCAAAGGAGTGCATGAAAATAAGTTTTTTTTTCAGGCAACATTTAATCATAAAAGAACTTAAGAGCGTACATAGACTAGAAACGATACATGTATGATAGTTTCACTTGAAATTTTCTATTTTATTCGGTTAAAAATTATACCTACAAGCATACTTCGAAAATATCCCACACAAGCGTCACTGCAATCTTTGGGCGGAAAATCACTGCGTATACCAGCTGATTATTTTAATCTTTGCACACTTCAATAAAGAAAACCATGCACACTTGTATCTTAATGATCATTACCTTAAAAACCCTCTGCAAATTGAACAGAGGCAATTTGAAGTAAATTACAACAAAATTTCTACTAGCATGAGCATCACAAATCTGTCAGATCAATATCTAAATGAAAATGTACAGCATTGTGAACATTGCAGAAGTCGCCTTTCCCATCATTATCATCATTTACAGCTGCAGTAGTGAAGAAGTGGAAAACTGACCAACAAATATACGTGTACATCATACTAAAATTGCATAAAACAGCCAACTGCACTAAGTACACGCATCTTGTTCCAGTTTGTTTATTGTTAATGAACCACATCGGGCAGCAACATCAGCTCTCCACAATTACATGTACATGTAAGTGTTTCAGTCCCACAAGCTTTTACATATTTTCTATTAACTTCAACATACATATAAAGCAAATCAAATTCAAAGTAGTTATCTTGTAGAGTGGTGCTTGTACTTTCAATGGAATTTGCAAATGGACCGAACAAAATCATACATTTATGCTGTGCTTAAGACCATTGGCCACAAAGTTTAAATCACCACAGTAGTTTTGTCCAAATTTACCACTATGTTTGTTTGTAAGAAGTTACTATGCCAGTGTAAAAACATCAACCTTGGTATCAGACTATAACAATGCAAAAATAATTTATCATTTCTTTCCTAGGGACTGTGTTTACATCACAAATGAGTAAATAGATTGAAGGCCGATGGAGGAGATGATCTGTTTGAGCTGGGATCAAAGTTCCCAGGTTATTCTGGCAGATCCCTGTAAAACGTTTGGAATGCATGTATAAAATAATGTTTACTTTTGAAGAATTGATGCCAAGGGGCATATTCTGCGATATGGAAAAAGTGGAAAATAGTGAAAAATAACAAGAATCCTTTTCTCCAGTAAACAAATAATATCGACAAAGTAGGCATACTTGTTCCATAGTTGAGGGGTCTACAAAACATAGATGTTGCGGATAAAAACTTTATGGGGACGAATTCTGTCACAACTAGGTCGTGACTTTAACGTGAGGATTAGTCCCCTCACCCTCAATGGTCTGGGTGCACAGTCTTAATCTTTAGTTTTGGGCACCCTACACACATTGCTTGTAAAGTTGGGTCCACAGATTTGTGGCATCACACTAAAGTCCGTATGACTTGGTCCAGACTTACAATAATAACTGTTTTGTCAACTGTAACCCAGGAGAGGGACACACTCCTATTTTGTACATTTTAACAAGTTGATTCAAAAAACCACTTTAAACAAGAACAACTGTTGGTGATGATATTTACTGGTTCATCCAAACTACTTCTTTTGTTGAAGGCTGGCTCAGTTTTCATACTCTTATTCATACACATAGCCCCAAAATGCAATCAGCAATAATTGTAACACACCACTGCTCTAGTTAGGACCAATTATTTAAAAGAATAGGTCGACCTCCAGAGTACACTGTTGATAAAGAGCTACAGACTGCCAACTATCCATTATGATAAATGTTGTCTCCACTTGTGTGAACGTTAAGGTGCTGAGGAGTGATGCTCAGGACTGCATGTGGTGCAGATCAAACAGAAATGCCGGCGGCATGCGCACTCTCAAGGATCATTGTAAAGTGACAAGTGTATGGAAATTTAGGTTAGCAGTGATTAATTGCTAGCAGATGGGAAAAAAAATTCTGGGAACATTGAGTTGAGATGCAGATTGACTGAAGAGGTGAATTTGAATTTCATTACAGCAATCAGCACCATGATTTTACTAATAAAATACAGGCAATTCATGTTAATTTGAACAGGCAAGTACATGCAAGTTCCCCTAATTTACAAAAGGTTTCAAACAATGAAAGGGTAATAAACAGCTGCTGCACATGAATGGCAAACAAAACTTGTGCAAACCTGAAAGCACATGTACAATGAATGCAACTACAGTCTTGGTCTTAAACAGGAGAAAGCAAACCTACATTTGATCTTTTGGAGTTTATGTCTAATTTTGAGAACATTTTACATCTTTGGTACAAACCTGAATCTTTCTTATTCAGAACTTATTTTGTTGATATACAGCACAATGGAAACCTGTTCACAAAACCAATTATCCTCTTAATGGTATCCACCTCGAGCTGAAGTAACACCCCCCCATTGGTGAAAAGAAAGACAGGTTGTTATAAGCGGATTCTTGCACGCATTTTGCATGTAAGCTAAGACCATACGTGCCGGAGTAAATTACCAGTAGTTACGCATACTCAGCGTGCTTCGCGTCAAACGCGCATATGCATGTACTTGCATGCCTCACGGCGAACCTATGCGGTGAGTACCCCCCCAAAAACGCCCTCTTTTGTTCTGCTCTGAGTGGACAAAATCCTTCAGTTCATTTTAATACAACACAAATGTACAGTACAGGATCACTTTCAAAAAGTCAACACAAAGAAAATGAAAGTGTGTTTACAACTTAGCAGGATGAACTGGTTTGGTTACTGAAGAGCAACACCATTTCCATTTCGTACTTTAAAACAACTCTTATAAATTAAATAGATACAACGGCTGCATACTAATTAATTTAAGAAATTAATCTGTATGTCTTCATAGGCTCCTGAAAGTTTTTAAAATACATACAAGTCTTTTTTGGAGCCTCCATACAAGCCTGAAAATGTGACAGCTCTGCTTATTTACAGGTGGTTGTTGCTAAGCACTGAGAAGCTGAAATTTTACTTAATGCAATGTCGCAAAGATTTTTTAATTCAGCAAAATACTCAATGATGTTTACAATTTCTCTGCAGATCATACACATGGTGCTCAGGCATTCCTTTCTACCCCAAGTCTTTTGAAGCACCAACATCAGTTCCCAGATGTCTGCGTAATTTGTTAGGTCTACCTCCATTACCACTGAATGCCAACTGACGGGGTTCCCAAAGAGATAATCTTACCCAAGTCTCTTCGTTCAGTGCTTGGAGTTTAAAAATCTCCTCAGTCTCTCCACAAGCACGTGGAAGTTCTGCTTGAACAATTTGTCGTTACTCAGGTCAATGTGGCTGGTGTGGGCCAGAAGTTTCTTGATGGGAGAGGGACCCATGTCTGGTGGCCACGCCACGAAACGAAGCAACACTGCAATCACCGGCTTATGTAGGGCCTCGGCCAACATTAAATCCTTAATGCCGTTGTCTGACTGTAAATACCGTGGAGTGATGCAACTCAGAACGATGGTGGACGACTTCATATTCCTCTGGATATTGCTTTCCAAAGTCTCGTGTATGGCATCCGAGTGAATCGGCCCGGATGTTGCTGTGCTGCGCGTGCTGGCTCCTGAGGTGCCACGCTGCTGTGCGATAGTCGGGCTGTTGTCAACCCAGCAAGAGATTCCGTTGTTCTCAAGGATTCGCTTGATTTCCTGGACTTTGTTATGCATGTCCCACTGGTAGCTCAAGAAGACTTTGGTATCCGAAGATCCATTGCTCACTGCTGACCCAGTACCTTCAAAATTGTTACAAACAAATTAAAGAAATGGATCTACTGGAGAGTACATTTATACCTCTCTTTTTGGGGGGAGGAGAGAAGTTGGCTTTGGAAAGTCAGACCAGAAAAAGCAGGAACTGTAGGGGAATATCAAACTACATACATACATTTCAAACAAAATACATTTCAGATCGCTGGCTACTAAATTAAATCAGAGTATGAAGGCTGAGATCTGATTTTAAAACTTGCATTACTAACAGGTATCAGCAAGTTCATCCACCAAATATTAGTAGAACTCCCCCTCCCTCCTTTTTTCATTGAAAGAAAGTTAGTTGATTTGTTGGTGTGGATTACAATCAACAAATTCAACATACATTTTATATTGTACATGGAGGGAACACCAACTCCACTCAATTTAATTAATGGTCGCGCAGGTACTAAGTACGTACAGGTTGAGGCAAATTAACGAGAATGCATGTCAGTAAATGTCAGTGCCTAGCAGAGCACAAAGAAATCTTTTCCTGAGACTAAGTTATTATTTTCACCATTTATACATTTCACAGCACAGGCACGAACTTTATGAAAAGTGGAATTCTTAGGCTCAATACTGTCTAGCACAACACTCTGCCTTGCCATATTGACACAGGCCCGAGGAGCATATACGTGTTGCAAAATGCAACAAAGGAATCAATCAGAGATGTTTGTTGCTGCTGGCAGACGTCTTGTTTGATCTGGAACCTCATCTCCATTCATTAACTTGCATGACAAACAAGGCAGAATGTGTGTCATATTGCTACAGGTGAAGAAACCACTCTAACAGTTTGAACATAGTGTTGCGAAGAGAAATGTACACTCGTTAAGTGCGGTGCAGAAGATTCTGAAGCGGCTTTATAAAAATCTGTTTGCTAAGGGATGTCAATAAAACTCAATTGAAGAGAGTGAGGCAGCAATGATAGCTTCCGTCTCAACTCCAGACCATATTGCATAAAAGGCATACAAACCTGAAGGACTTTTGTAACATCTTGTGCTACATGCATTTTCACAAAGACAATATGAAAGTGGCACTAACCACTCCTCCTAAGGTGCCAAAATATCCAAATGCAAAATGTTTGCTTCTTAATTTCTGTATGTAAGCCATTTCAGGGATTTTTGCATCCACACTGAGAAACACAGCAAACTTCTTTCATGTTTCGTTTCTTTTTGAGAACTGTAAAACTACGTTTGCAAATTTATTAAAAAGTGATCTCTCAATTTCTGTCACTTTTCTTGGAACCTAATGATGTGCTTTCATTGTTTCAGGAAACTCAACTGCCATGCCTGGTTAACGCAGCCATGAAAAATTTTTCATCTTAAATTTTTTGGCTTGTACCTTGTGATGCTGCAAGGACCTGCAGGGGCTTAAGTCCTTCACTCATCCGGTTGAGATAAGTCTGCTCCAACACAACCCCTGGCACCTTGCGTAAGGGCCTGATGTGATGCTCAAGAATGTCCATGCTCTCACTGTACATCTTGGTCTCAAAATCAATGGCTGGAAATTCACCTGCAAACACAGAAACAAAAGGACCCTCAAAATATCCACATCAAGACCCACAAAAATGCACTTAGTTCAACTAAAGGTTTCCATGCTGTAACTAACGAAAGGCAAAAACCTTGTGACTGAAACCAATCTGTTAATGAGATTTAAAGACATACACGGCAATCTGGTGCCTTTTATGCCATTAACGTAGAAAAAGCTCTTCAGTATGGTTGTACCGGTACATCTAAGTTCACAAAACCAAGTCTTCCAGGTACCTAGAGACCTAGAGGGTACCAGTATATGGCAGTAATTTCATTTTCCGTACCAAATGAACAAAGCTACATGTGGTAAAATGCAGATTACGTGCACCAAGGCAAAAGCTGGTGAACTCCTTACTGCTAGAGATAATCCAGCAGCTGGGGCCAATTTCATAGAGCTGCTTAAGTGCAAAATCTGCTTAAGCGCAAAAAACCTTGCTTAAAAAACAAAGGTTACCAGCTCCGACTCTATCTGATTGTCATGCTAACCAAAAGACAGCTAAATACAATTCCAAAACACTATACATCACATAGAGTTTTGGCAGATTACCTCATTTATCAAGCAAGGTTTCTCATGCTTAAGCAAATTTTGTGCTTAAGCAGCTCTATGAAATTGGTCCCTGCAGGTTATTAGACACGAAAAACATGTACATGTATGTATAAGGACTGAGATTCGTTGATTACCTATCACAGCTTTCAGTGATGGTCGCATTTTCTCCCAGACATTCTTGAACATGACTGTCACCAGCGACTTCCCAAGCCAGTCAGCAAACAGCACTTCATGGAAGACGAACGGGGATGCCGTGGCTCCTTCGGTCAGAAGAATGATGACATGCTTGGCAGTGGCTATGATTGGTCCGTTGATTGCTAAGAACTCCTCCTTAGATTGTCCCAGCTTCTCATGACAAGACACCTTTGCAGAAAAGAGTACCAAAATTTTCAACAAAGGTTAAAAAAGTATTAATGCACGATAGACAGTGAGGCTGCTATGCTTGGTAGGCTTATAAGATGGAATGAGAATTATGTTCACCACTTTGGGGATATGTACTGTTTACTTTCTGATGTTCTACCGATACCATCTGCTCTCTAAAATTTCTCTACTCCCTCAGTTTGCGCTAGGCCTACAGTAGTTTGCTCTGCTGTCAATGAAAATGGTTAGCTCGTTGGTCTGTCAGTGCATTAAATCTCACTTGCTTTTCACAGATTACAAATGTTTTCTTATCATTAATAGGGGGAGAAACTAAGTTCAGAAGTCTACTCATAAGTCTTTGACTCACTTGAAGATTTTTCTTCTTCAAATCTTGTTTAAGATTCTGTGCTAGTCTCACATCTGTGGGATCGTACACCAGGTAAACACTGTCTGTCCGATTCTTCTGTGTCCTTGCTCGCAGATGCCAACTCTCCGGAGCTTTGTGTTCCTTCTCTAGAATCCCGATAATCTGCTGGAGTATTTTCTTCCTGACTACACGGCTGTCAATGCCGAGAAAGTCGGCCATGTCTTGGTCCATGATAGACATGAGGAGGAAGCCGTCCATGCCCGCTTCAGCAAAACTCTGGCGGTAGAATTCCCTGATCCCCATCTGATACAGCCAACTTTGCAGGTCGTCCAGGTTCCACTTGCACAGTTTCTTCTTCTTGTACTCCTCCGTGTAGTCTGCACCTGGTATGTGCGGCACATGAGGTGCAAAGATAGAAGCATAGTGTTCAACTTTCTCCATCAGAGCACCGATGACGACTGAGGCTTTCTCCGAGAGACTGAGTCTTTGGTATCTCGGATGGCACAGTCTCACAAGATCTTCCAAGAAGATGGTATACTGCTGTGGGATCTCCACATTCTCGCATAAGACAAGAAAGACCTTGGGAGGGGTGGAAGATGAGGGGACTTGTCGCTCAAGTAGACAACGGAGTTCGTACAGTGAAACAGGGCATTGAAAGTAGCTAAAAGACAGGAAGCAGATGGCAGCACGGCATTTTTCAACTGCTTCCATCCGCTGCGAAAACCATGCAGGACTGCTGGTGTTCTCCTCGTCCTTATCAAACCAAATGTCTTCAGTCAGATCATTCTCTTTGAACTGTCTCACCGCTTCACAGATGAGTTTTCGTTCAAGGAAGCCTCCGTCTGGGGAGTACGAGATGAAAATGCCCTTCTTCATTTTCTTAGCAACCTGGTTGCTTCCGGGCACCATTTTTCCATCTTGCTTTCTGTTCTTAGTTCTGTCTTTCTTTACCCTGGGTTTGGGCAAGTTATCTTTGAGGATCGGTTTCACCGGAGCAACATTTGGCACCCCATCCCCACCCCCTGTCTCCATCTGTTTTGGCTGGTTGGCGACACGTTGCGCCTCCTCCGGCCCCTTCTCATTAGCAACATCCATTGAGTTCTCTTCGCCTTCCTTGTTATCTTCCATTGGCTCTTCCTTGTTCACTGCATCTTCCAGGACAGGTTCTTGTTGCTTATGCTGTTCAACTGTTTCAGTTACACCTTCCATATCACTGTGCATGTTACATCAACATCAATGTCAAAATTATGACTTGACAAAAACCTCAGTAGTCCATGATCTGTGTGATATAGAGAAGAAAAACATATAAATAGGGCCTACAGTTGTATCGTCAAAGCAAAATAATGTAGGCCTAGAGTGGGTATCATAAACACAGGGAAGCCTTAATTTTTCTGACTGTTGTAAGGTCCCTTATTTTTCCATTTACTGTGAAAACCAACCAAACTTCACTACAGTACAGGAGAAATTACTCAGATTAGGGAGCTAGCAACTGTGGTATAGAGCGAAGGATGTTATAACATTCATTCTGTCTATACCTTTGTGAGCTTAAATTCAGACAACTTAGAACATCATTTAAGCAGGCCACAAAAGGGAGTATTTGATATGCTTGTTTACAATCTCTATTAAGGTGAAATGATCACCGAAAAAGCAAGATTTTATTTTACACCGGACAAGAAATGTTGGCAAGAAACCTATTCCTACATGTACAATACCCCCAGAATTGTGGGGGCCACGTTTGCTCCGCTCAGCGGACGTCGGACCCCACAGTTCTGGTCTGTCTGGGGGTATTCCTTCAAGTTACAATACAGTATACAGACCCTCCCTTCTTTCTTGTATAAATTAAATTTTCCTTAGAAAAACTGACCTAGGCCAGACTGCGTTTTTATGGTAAGCAAGGTAGGCACAAAGTACAACACACTTGTCGTGAATGAAGTGTTCGCCGCGCCTGTATAATCCGATGCTGGCGATGTTACGGTGAAATTAAGTTTAGGTGATCACGTTGATCTGTTGATTGTATCGATACAAAAACTTACCATTTGACACTGTTTGGTGAAGTAAATTACCATCCAAACACTTCAGTATGTAATACTCGACACTCCATATCAAACTCGTAAAAATTCCTAAGTAAAAACTCTAAATTAAGGTCGCAAAGCGCGCAAAGTGAACTGTGATTCAATCTCCTACTTCCGCAAGTAAGCACACAAAAAACGAACGTGAACACTGTACATAATGTACGTGTACATCGCTGCATGGTAACCAAGTACAAAAAAATTGTTACCAACGGCTGTTTTATAACCATCGTAAATGACAGAACTAATTTGAAAAGATTTTCATTTCACTCTAGAACTAAGATGTTATTAAATGGCAGGCTAAGCGTCGGTTTGATTTTTCATTTACTTTTTAACTGTCCTCAAATTTAACTCAAGTGGTGTTTAAATTCTATCCGATGTTTATAAAACAGCCGTAGAGTCCAGAGCGCTTGCTCACTGTACGCCACAGTTCACCTGTTGCATGCGGCGCATATCTGAGTCTAATTATGGCTTGCAAACGGCTCTTCTTTCTGTTGTACTTACCCCGTAAGCGTTGTTCAGTAATGATAAATGCTGGATTTGGGGTTAAAAATTTAAAAAATTCTTTTCGGTGTGGCTAATGGATTCCAGAAATTTTCCCGCTCTCATTATTGATCTTTGCGATCTAGAGACAGTTCGTGCCACGTCACAAAGTGGTGACGGAATATTGGCGAACTGTTCGATCGTTGTGGAGAAAAAAAATCGATCGTCTAAACATTCTTCCTCGGGATTATATTCTGCCGCTAATCTCATTTGTTCATTTGAAAAAGCCGCACAGTTAATCCGCAATTATGATGAACTCTATTACCATCGGTCTAGCGTTTAAGTGCATTAAGCACATCAGATGATATTTACACAATTATATTTTAAATTATCAAAAGTTAAGAATGACAACTTCAACAGCTGTGGGAGACAGACCTTAAAGAGGCAATACGTAGCCCGGACGCTCTACGAAGTTTCCGTCATTTATTCATGGAGTATCGCAATGCGTATGATTGGCTGCCGGCAGACAATGCTATATCCCCAACCCCTTCAGTAGTCATAATAAATCGCCCCCAAATAAATTACTGCAGCAAAAACTTGATAAGTAAAAAATGAAATAAATTATCCCCCCAAGAAAATAAGTTGCTGCAGTAAAAACTTGATAAGTAAAAATGAAAATAAACTACCCCCCCCAAAAAAAACATTGCCACGTAAAAACTTGAGAAGTAATATTTACTAAAGAAAAAAATTATCCCCCAAAATAAATTTCCAAATTAAAATTATAATTAAGTTATTTATGTGGGGAACGACTTGACTAGGGGACAAGTTGATCTGGGGACGACTTGACCTATGGACGACTTGACCAATATTCTCAGAACGTCTTGCCATTTTGCCACTTTTTTTAAAGTGAAACTGTCGCTCATAAACACAGCTTATAAACCCCCAAACTAGCATTGAAATCTATTTTGAAACCACACCATGGTAAAAAGTTTAATATGAAGGGCTGCGCGACATGTTTTAAAGCCAAACTAAAAGGAGGGTGTAAATTAATTCCAACTTTAAAAAAATCATCTCAAACAAATCAATTCAGAGAATTCAGATCACATTTATTTATTATTTGCAACATTTATTAGTTTTAAGTTTATTTCTAAATAAAATTAAAAGAATTCTGGCCTTCACCCATAAATAGCAAGAAAATATTTTACAAAACATACATGTATCAAGTTTGTACAAAAATAAACTTTCTGCAGGCCAATTAAGCATGAATGTCTCTAAACAAAAGTATAAACTAAGTGATTGTGCAATCTACCCTCTCGATCACAAAATGATAATTTCAAAGAAAACATTCAAACGTTTACTTAGGTTAGAAATTATTTCAGATTTCCTCACGATTGTGGGAAGGGTTATGACTGGGGGTCCTTGAGACCAAATGACTACATTCTTGAATCTCGACCATGATTTTCAAGAAGGTGAATGACATAGCACAGGTTGTCTCAATTACTTGGATGCCGTCATGCTATTTAGCATCAACACACACAGGGAGCGTCAACAAAGCATCAACAACTTGAAAATGCATTCAATCCAAAGATTTAAAAGTGGTTTTATCATATTTTAGAGACTCTAACACCTGCCACTGTGTAAGAGAGACACCGAATTAGCTTCCAGATTCTCGCAGGAAAATAGAAAAAATTCACGATGCTTTGCTGACGCTCATTGACGCTAAATAGCATGAACCCTGGGATGACGTTATGCATGAGTCTATGACAATGGATACAGCCACTGTCCATAGGGTCATGTGTGTTTTCTAGCCACATATAAATGATTTGGACACAGCCATTATCATCCTTAAAGGACGCTTCAGGTTTGCGGAATGAGTACAAACAGTGCTCGACATCCTCATTTTTGGTGGCAAGGTATCACCTCTATCCTAGAGTTCAACAAATTTTTGGGTGAACCATGCCAACTGGCTTTTTCAAATCTGCTGTTTCATTATCAGTAATAGTCAATTTGAAAAGAAACTGCCCCTAGGCCTAGGTTTTTGCAAAGGCAAGCATTTTTATAAACCCTTGTGAACAAGTATGTTATACATATTCCGCGGCCAAGCATGTTTTCCCCTGAGAGAAATCAACACTTCAGAGGAAAAAGCCTTTTTTTGCAGATGACGTAAAAGTTTTAATTCTATTGGTGGAGTCATTTACAACGTAATGATGAAAATCACCACTACAGAGGAATCAATTTAAAAAATCAAAATGATTAAGAATCAATTGATATTTTTGTCCCGCTTGTTGCAAGACAGCAAGGAACTACTAAGAACCAAACACTTTCCCTCCTCTATGGGAATTTATAAAACATTAAAAAATATTTAAAAATTAAAACGGGTGAAAAAAGTTCCAGACCAATCGAAACAACTAATTTACAAAAACATGGCCGATTGGGTGAAGTGCATTTCTATATTTTCACCCTGGATCAGATTTGCCTGTGCAGGTACGCAATAATAACATGAATAAAAAGCAAATAAATGGCACAATTTCTGGCAAAAGTTACTCCATCTGTGGGATAGACATTTAACTACCTGCACCCCGACAAATGAAATTATTTGTCTGTTTCTATGGTAATTGAATGTGATTTGAGTCAGTGATATGATTTCTGACCACGATGAAAGTTCTCAAGTGCAGGTACCTCTACTAAGTGATGGAAAAATCTTTCTGTTACTTTCCGCTTACCATCCCATTGTTAAATCAAAAACAAGTTAACAGGTTGAAACAAACAAGAACAAATCTTTTTAGTGGTGAAAGAGTTATAGTTAGTTCAAAGAGCTTAAGTATTTGCAACTTTCTTCTTGTGTTAGGAATCCTTAACAAGTGGGGAATAAAGAGGAAGGCTCTCTCAAAACCTTCACGGGGAGTTTAGCCAAATATAAGGGTGTACCACACATGTGCAGTCCACGTTCTTGTAAAGATGCAAATATACATACACTGAGTGCTGCAAGAAAACTTGAAGAGGACACACTACAACCAAATGTTTCTCTGATATCATTCCCCAACTCTTGGTATGAAATGCTGCTTTTTCTTTGATACTGACAAGGACAATGTGAGCATGCATCTTAAACCTTAATTTCTGATAGTTTTTAACAAAGAGTTTTGAAGAAAATGAAGCACTTTGCTTTACTTTCAATTATATTTGGCCTTTGAAAGACAAGGAGATCACACAAGAATGTTGACTGCCTGCACTACCCCAGCGGGCATGGATCCGGGGGAGGGGGGCTGGGGGTTGAATCCCCCCACCCTGAGCGAAAAAAAGGGGGAAATGGGAAAAATTAAAAATACCTAAATAAGTGCAATAATACCACTGTAAACTATGTTTGTCATGTATGTTTCAGCATCATTTCTGTTTATCCACAAAAATGAGACATTCAAAAATTACTGGCCTAACACCCCTTACCCTCCCCCCGTAAAATTCCTGGATCTGCCCCTGCCCAGATCTCTGTTGACAGTCTTTTTCCCTTACAGCTGGCTCATACTTTGCTTGCATATTTGCTTGAAAACAAAGCAAATTTGATGTCACAGAACATTTACAGCAAAATTTGTTGGCGCTGAAACGTGTTCAACTTTGCAAATTCCAAGCGTGAATGTTTGGTGTGGTGTCACAATTTCCTGTTCACGTTCATTTTTACGCCAAGTACAAACCAGCCTTTATCCTGTCTGAATTTCTCTCTCCTGAAACGAAGCTTCTCATTTCACGGGTGGCCAAAGTACACGTGATCATACTTCCATAGTCTGGTGCTGCACCTTGGATTCCCTTTGCTGGAGGCAGATAATGAGTCGACGGACACTGTCAGAAAGAAGGTTGTTTATCTTATGTCGGTTCTTGCTGTAGACATTGAGAAAGATGCCAAGGAGAACCAAAAGTCCTGACCATACATATCTAAGAAAAATAATGTGAAAAAAGATATAAGGATACAAGGTGTCACTGTTGTGAGAAAGAACTATCCTAACAGAATGAACTTAGAACAGGATGAATTAAAGTCAAGATAAGAGCTACCAGAGCTAAAACGAAGTACTGGAATGTGCATTAATAATGGAAACTTATGTTTAATTTGAATACTGCTTTCAAAAACTTTCCCACACCGTTTTAACATTTGGCCAATACTTTACAGAGGCTGCCGCTGCCTACCTCGGTGTTTTCATCTAATTATATGCATAATTATATGTTGTTCAACAATGTGAATGGTCCAACCTATGTAACAATGTAGATTGATGTCGGGGCATTTAAAACAATTACATGTAATGTTTATTGTTTTGGAATCCACTTATTTCTTAAAAAAGTACATGGATGCTGAAAGGGAAAAATACAGTATGTAACAGGCATTGTTTACAATAAAAATGCCAGATGGTATCAATCAACATGTCAAACCTTTAAAAGGGGTGGTTTGAGAAAATCTGTGAAAGGATTTGGGACTTTCTTTTTAAACACGTGTGTAAACGTCCCATCCTTAATGTGCATATCACAATACTGTGGATAAGACATCACTAATGGGAGACTTTGTGGCATGATGTGGGCATGCGCGTGCAGTTCTGGGCATGGGTGTTAGTTCTGAGCACGCGCGCTACCGCGGAGAAGGACTGGTTTGTCTGCTGCCACCATGCGTCTCAAAGTCTCCCAATGAATCAATACTTACTGCATCGTGAACGGCTTTGTGAAGAACACAAAGGATAATACTATGGTGACTGCTTTGCGACAAGTTGTAACTGTAAGGGAAAAAGCCAAGTCATCGAAACAACAAACGATTTGATTTCAATTCGGAGAAGAAACACACTGACTGATGAGGTGGTCGTGGGAAAAATCAACACACAATATGAAACTAATTTTCTCTCTCAATTTATGGAAGATCGAGGTAAAACTTGGAGCCCACGTTTTCATTTTAAGAAGTGGTAGTATGAGTGCCTAAGCGTGAGTCATTTGAACCAAGAATTGTAGTGCAAACAAATGTAGCATGCATGTGCTGGTTCACGCGCTGGTTCACGCGCTGATGCCTTTTACGCACATAACTGTACGCATGATGTATTCATTTCAGTACTCAACAGTATTGTTATACACAGAAAATCAAAGAATTGCCGGTACCTGGTTATTTCAAGATGTACTTTACTTAATTACCAATTTTGCCCTTACCCAAAGTATATTCATAAATACTGTACACTCAGTGCTTGTCCGAGAACTTGCAAAAAAAAATTTGCGGGTGGGACTCGAACCCACAAACCCTTCTAGTGCAGATGTCCTAACCACTCAACCACTGAGATTGCCAGGGTCGGCTGGCTGGTCTGAGTCAGATGTAGAAGTGGGTGCCAAGATGCATGTTGCATCAGGGAGATGTTAATTTTAATTACACGTTTTGCCCTTACCGGACAAATGAGGCTCCTGTAAAAACATCTTTAATTAAATGTAGACCCAAATCATAATTTTGGAATCTCTTACCTGTAACTGTCATCAAAGCTCCAAATGTTCGGATCATTGACAGCACGAACGAAACCCCAAAGAAACCAGATAATCCGTAGAGAAACGCATAACCATATGTTTCTGTGGGATGCTGCAAGGGAAGGTCAAAGTTCAAAGGTCAAAAATATACATCAAAGCCAAATTTCAGAATAGAAATAATGTAACAAATCATGAAGAGGCTCCATGAAAATGTTAGTGGTCCATGCAAAGTTTCTGTGTAATGTGACATGGGTAGCAAAAATTTCTGTTTAAGTAAAAGTCTAAAAAGGGCCAAGTTTAATATCAGAAGTGCAGACTTGGCTGCACCCTTGAAAAATAAAGACTGAATTTCTCGTTACTGTTTAATCAGCCAAAGATGGAATTTACCTGCTGAGTGACATTCCTCTCTAACCACAGTTATTTTATAACAGTGCAATGAAGCATAAAGTCAAAGCAGCCCTACCTCACAACATGGTGATACATACCTCATAGAAAAACCAAAAGCTACTAAATAAGTTTCCGTTAACAAAGAGATAAAACAGGATGTAGAAGAAGCCGATTGGCATAGGAGTAGAGTACCTGTGAAGAAATTTAGAGAAGGAATGAAATTTAACTGTCCAGGGTAGTGTTGCTTGGTTTGGTTTGTGTCATTTTCATTTTAATGGGATGGAGGAGACATCAAAATTTGGTTATCTGTTGATGTTACAGGACTTTCTGAAATACCCTATGTATGAAAGTGAGCTCCAACATTCTATAGCAAGTTTTAATATAGACAATCACTCAAGATGTTCTTACTGGGGATGACTTTGGGTGGCCAAGTACACAGCAAGGCCACAAGGGATGCTTCTAGAGACTTGTATCTTACGACGGTCAAGTACTATCCATTAGGAATCCCTTTTAATTAGCTGTAAAATAAACGTGAACCGAATTACTCACTACTTCATTGTTGCTGGCTTCATAAGTCTTCATGGCCTTTTCTTGGACATTTCCGATGACTGCGTCAGCACATAATGCAGTGGAGATCATAAGGATACCTGAGGTAGCAAAAACAAACATGTACACTTTGTCATTTCATGATGCACACTTTTCATCTTAAATTCAATCCCCGTAAATCTGTCACCAAAAAATAAAAGTCAGTTTCTTTGAAATGACTTTCAAAAAAAAATTACAGGGAACATATGACCTCAAGTATAATGTTCACAACAGTATGGAATAATAGTTTTGGGCTAAAATGCATCGTGTACAATCATTGAATTTAAAATGAAATAGTGTGGTTAAAATTGGTGTGAGAATACAGTAATAGACCAATTGCGCCTGCTAAGTCACATGACTTATAGTGGGTATTAAATGGGAGACACCATCTGGGCGCAAGCCGGTTACAGTCATGAATAATACAACATATGGCGTATATGTTAATAAAATGACATATGACGTTTTATGGGCAGATACTGCCTTTGTCGTGCACGGCGTCACCAGGGTATGATTTTTCTCAGATTATGTCCGTGTACAGTTGTACATACACGTACCTGACCGTTTGTACTCCACACATGCTCACAAATTCATACTTAAAATTTTTCTCAAATGTACCTGACTTTTTGTGCCTGTTTGTACTGCACATGCCCATGTGGATTTGGATGAAGTCATACCTGTGTGGTTGAAGTTTGGTGACACAGTGCTGTCGGCAAGTATGAAAAAGATCAGACCCACACTCATACACAGGGCCGCGCTGACATCGATCGGACCGTATTTCTTCCCTGGATAAGGAAAAGGACCAGCGGTCTTTACTATATTACAGAATTACTGATGATATTTTGTCAAGAGAGGACAAATCATTGGTCTGCACTATCAGCATTATATCAAAATGGATTGCTGAGGGGACAATTGAAGGGAAAATTAAAGGGGAAAATAAATCATGAAGGGGACAACTCTTGCGTTAGGCAAATAAAGACAAAGATTTGGGGACATGTCTCAGTCCTCACAATGTTTTTGGTCCCCACAAAATACGTGCAATAATGTTTATCCCCGCAACTAAGAACAAGTATGGGTGTGTGCGCAGCGCAGCATATACACACATGCACAAACGTCAACATAAAGTGTTTTTACTAACTTGTTAAAGGCCATGTTTGAAAGTTGTGGCTATGGCCAGTGATGACAAGCCACTGGCTTGCAGTTTAAGGCAGTTGCCACAGGTACATGTGCTACTTTGAGCCTCAGTGAGCTAAGTTGGACATACAGCGGCCATCTGTTCACCCCTATACCAAATCCATCACCTTGTATGAGAACACCTCCAATCATGACTGGGATCAGCTTGCAGCACTTGAAGATGACCTGGGTGGGATAGTTAAGATATCCCACAGAGGAATTGGACATGCCCATTGTACCCACTGTCAGAAATGCCAGGAATACGTAGGTCTTCAGGGGAATGCTGCTCAAGAACAGAACAAGAGACACATTTTAAAACCAAGTTTGAATGCAATGTCTCTTACAATCAGATTGAAATAACTTCTTCATCTTCGAGAAAATATGATCAAATCTGAACTGCAACTGGGCCATGTTCCATCAGCTTACTTCCCCCAACGTTTGTGTTACCGTTTACCTGTTAAATTTAAAATGTTCCATTTGGAAACTTTCTTTGTAGTACACATTGCTCCACTGTGCTCCAATTTTTAAACAAAAGATGCATGTGCACATGGAAAACTCCTGTGCAAGACAACACCTTGCTGTTCTCAGATGCATTGTCCATGAATTCTTGAGTTTACTATTTTGTGAATGCCAAGTCTTGTATTACTCTCAGTTATGTTAAAAATGAAAGGGTACCTTCGTGGTTGACAGCCCTTCCACTTCATCTCAACTGAAGCAAGCAAAGTGTAACAGGCAAACTGAACTAGAGTCAGATACCATCCAAAAGGCTTCCGTTCAGGCTCTCTGAAAAACAACTCCTATCAGACAACAGGGGGTCCAGTGTCCGAAAAGAAACGGGTGAGATGTCACAATGTCATCCTATATAGCCACCACAATATCATCATACATGGCCTGAATGATAGTAAGTTATTGCACGCTTAGCAAAAAAGGTCAGAAAATACTTATAAAAAAGTTTATTGAATCCAAAAAGACTTTTGTCAATAATCATTTCTGATGGCATCTGAATGCAGCTTTAATTCCAGTATCTTACGGATGGTATGCATAGAATGGAATCAAATAGAACTCATCAAAGAGAATACAGATTTGTAAAAGAAATCAAGGGGGGGAGCACTTTTTTTTCCAGACGAATTTACGACTTCCCTACCTGGACGTATCCGTAGATCAGGTAGAAGAAAAATATGCCTGCCACACCAATACTGAACTGTGCAAGCATTGGTAGGTGGTACTTTGGCACCGTCTTCCCTGTTTCTGTCGGCCTGTCTTGTCCGCCCCCATTGGTCATGTTCACAACATGCTCACTGGACGAACTTGGAGGACCAGTTGCCATGGTGGGTTTCCTGAAGATACCTGATCTCTGTCAAGAGTGAAGGGGGAATCACGCAGTCGGTTAATGTCATGCTTGTTCATCTGATGGTTAACACCATTCTCCACAGAAAGCAGCATTGAATGTCATCTTGTGTACTTCAGTCTTACTGTATTCATTTCTCAAAGTTACTCAAAAATTTACATATAATTTATCATGTTTGGAAAGAGTACCAGGCCAATCATTTTGCTTTTTTGAGTAAACTCGGCCAACACATATAGGAGCATGCACAAGTAATTAATGACAAGAAGTCACTAATTATTGACTAATTATTCACCAATTGCCATTATTATTGAGAGTATGTCTGTTTGAAAAACCTTTCCTGTAATTCACATCTGTGACACAATAACAAATGGACGGAGGATTTAAATTGCTGAAAAATAAAAGACAGAGGCAAACATCAAAAAACATTGACTATGGACAGAATTCCAAGTAAATGACAAAACCATCGGACCAACGGGAAAATAAAAAACAAAGCCAGGAAGGAGCGGGTTGAGACGTACATGTACATGTAGGACTCGGGCGCAAAACAGGGGCTTGTGAGGCCTGGCAAGGTAAAAATATAGATTATAGGAATATCAAAAACACTAGTAAAACTTACAGTTAAACATATGATGTATCCATGTTGAGCTCACATCAATATCAAATTATGACCTTCAATTAAAAAACTGCACACCAGTCTGTCCCACAAGGACTGTTTTAAGCACGAGTTCTTCCTAAACAGTAAGATACGGAGTAGTCTTACTGTTTAGGAAGTAAAGCATGAGTACAATTGACAATGGCTAAAAAAATAGTAAAAAAGTAAAATGGCTGTGGTCTAAACAGAAATTGCACAGGAAAAATATTTTTTGAGATATGGGGGAAAAACGACAAATCATGAATGTATCATTGCACCAAGCTACAAAAACATGTCAAATCAACTAGGCAAGGTTCACACCAGATCAATGTGAGGAACAAAAGTGAAATTTCACAATTATACACTTGTTTTGAAAAACCTCAATGCTAAACATCCTGGCATGGTGCTGGAGCTAAGCAGGGCGCCCCCGTGCGGTTTCAATTTAAACAATAACGTAGGCCGTGCATGCAGTGAGTGAGGCTTCGAAGAGACCAATACTGCAATGCATCATGGAGGAAGGACAGGCGAGAAACACCATCTTCCACTGAGACGACGCTTGTGATATTAGTGGGGAAAAGCCTCATCCTGTTTCTGTTATCAGTAATGAGATGAAAGCTACGTTAGTTGATATTTTTGAAATAAAGTCTTACCGTCCAAAATCTAACGGTACGTGGCGCATGCAACGTATCATGCGCGATTAGCGGCATGACGACCTGGCTAACAATTATAAACAGGTGACTGCGTGAATAAAAGGCGAATTTGTGTTTGTGGGTTTTGGGAACTAGACCCATTCAGAGCGACCCAAAAAATTTGCATATCATACGATCACCTATAAAAAGCTACAGACGCGGAGTGCATGGTTGAGTAATTTCTGGCATCGGGTGACGACGACCCTCGGTGATCGAAGAAATTGAAATGCAGTGCTGTCTCATTTTTGAGCTAAGGCATGTATTTTGCTTTTCAGAAAATATAGCAGTAGATGAATTTCTGCGGCAAAGTATCCACGGGAAAGCAAGTCGTGCTGTGTTTGGCGCAGCTGCAACCAACGTTAACCATTTGCGGCCGGCTGGGGCGGGGTTCGGGGAGGGGGGAGGCTCGATTGTAAGGGAGAATTTTGAAAATTTGAACTCCGAGGATGCTTTTTAAAAAGAAATGTTACGCGTGCATTTGGGATTTTTTTCAAAGTGTATTTATCGTGTTTTTGGTAATTTTGTTTGCAAGTTTGAAGTGATATATTTTGCATATGATGAACACCGAGTAACATCATGAACATGACAGATATGAACATGACGAATGATGTAAATTGTGTAATGTTAGGATGTGAGGGATGATGCATGCCAAAAATTTATTCGGTTTTAAATGTAGAGACGAAATAACACTGCCAAAACTTGACGCATATGGATCATTCTATAAATTAGGGGTCCAAATTTTGTGTATGTCCCTGTCCGCACATCTGATGTACATTTATATTGGTATGTTCAATTCAGAACACATTTTCTAATTTCCAAACTTTACAAATTAATGTAAATGAGGCCAAGGCCTACCTGCCAAACAAATAGCGGTAGTTTAAAATAAATTTCAGTGATATTTCTATGTCAAATTACACTTGTCATCTGAAACAGGGACACAAAAATGTCACACCTTTGAAACCGATGACCCATGTATACATCGAAATTAAAGGACATATGAATACATTCTCAATTGCAACAATTTTAGTATGCGACTTTCTTTTATTCTTTATACTTCACAGGCAATCTGCAAAAATCTTCCCACAGTGCATCTTGTTAAACGTTACAATTCACATTCCAAAAGATATACATGAAATAATACATTTGATACTTGGACTTTATTAAAGTTGAAATAAACATACATGTATCACATGAAATCATCTGAACATTAGACATTTTGGAATGATCCCAATTGCAGGATCTCCTCCCCCTGCCAAAAATTGTGCAACAATCAATTTCAACAACTTCCTCTTTTTGTTTCGTAATATGCCTGCGTACATCTTTACACAATCAGAAAATCTTGGCGGTGCACCAAACATGCCAAAAGTACCAGTATATTTTTAGACCCTGTGCTTCATCTACCAATCACAAACACAGCTGATGGACGATTTTGTGTGTCTGATTCCAAGGTTCAGTGATTTATTTTTTTAGTGATACAGGCTGCGGCGTCGTGACCAGTAACTGTAACAGGTCAACATTTTATTGTTTCCTGCACAGGTTACATGCAATCCTTGTCATCAGTGATATTGTGACATCCTGCAAGGAGAGTTACACAACCCACATTTCCTGTGCTCAAGATGTTGATGCAGGAGTGAAAGTCATCTCTGCTTCTTGACTTCCTGTTGAAATTTGTAAGTATGGTAATTCTTTTCTTTCAGCTCATCAATCTGACTTCTGCCGCCTCTTCCCGTAGCTCTCAAACTTGGGGCAGTTTGTCACAAAAGTGGAGATGCTGTGGTTGTGTTACACTACTTCATGATTATTAATGATAATTCACAAAACAAAAAGTAAGAAAATGACAGTAGAAACAAAAACATTCGCACTACTCATTACTGCCAAAGTCTTTAAGAAACACCTCTTATTGTTTAAGGATTACCAGTGATAATGAGGTTGGTAACTGTATGACCAAATTTATACTTTTACGCGGAATTGCCCTTTGCTTAAATTTAACCTTACATCTATTCAGGAACCTTCACTAATCCTTCAAAATCTAACGAATCCAATTTTCCTGTACTTTGGTCATCCAGCACCATGAACAACTGCTCATATGAAATTGTCTTTGGGCTTGGCCGTGCTTACACATAGTCTAGTCTATCCTCCAAACTCCATCGGGACCAAAACTAGACATTGGAGTTTGGAGGATCTGGGATGGGTAGGTTGACTTGATAGACTGTTTCATTTTTAATGCAAGATTGCTTGAAATTGTCAACTTTTTGCAGGTTAAAATTGGAACACAAATTTGACATCTTTGAGGGATTTGAAAATGGAGTTGATAAGTGCAGTTACAGCACTGTTTCCCACCAGTCTTCCAGTACTGATTGCATTTCTGGTGATGTTAGGTGCTGCCTCATTCTACATATTGATAGCCGCCAAAAAGGTAATTACAAAAACTGAAATGAGAGGTTGGAGAGGGGGTCAAAATGTAATTTTTCTACTGGTAGTTTAACAGAAAAAATACAAATTGGTGAACAGTGCACATTGATAAGTTCCATATTTCTATGAAAAATGTGTAGGCCTAACTGCTTATTTCTTCTTCATGTAATTTGGAATAATTAAGTACATGTAAGTTGTACAATGTAGTTGTACCTTTGGGACATTGAATTTTAATTTTTCCAGGTTTAAGTAGCATAATTAAGTGGCACTGAACAGGTGCACACACATTTCCTGTATCTAAAATTTTAGCCAAAATGTCAGAATTCAGTCAGAGAAATCTGTGAAGCCGGACATTGATCCTTCAATTCTGTAGTTTGATAACAGAACAGAAAAAAAGGTCTACATGTGTTTCATAATGTTGGTGCCAAGGGCAGATTCAAGGGGACCAGCGACAGGGCCGTGGCCCCCTGCAAAATAAAAAAAACAACCAAAAAACCCCCAAAACGGAGCCAAACAGTTTGTTTTGAAAATCAACGAAAGGCGAATAGTTTCAACTGTTTCATTTCCTTTCCCTCAAAAAGGGTGTAAAAAGCTACAAAATGTAGCCTCGCCCCTCAGAAGGGCCATAAAAGGTTACATGATACATATGAATTTACAGCATTTTTTGGGTTCCCCCTCCCCATCCCCAATTTGGTTCTGGATCCACCCATAGTTGGTACATGCATAATATTTAATATGGTCTTTAAAAAAAGCATACTTGTACATGTATATGTGCTGGTAGGAGTTTTATCATGGTTTCATAATGTGAGATGTGCAGAGCCACAGCTATGAGCTTTGAATTTACTGGTGTTCCTGTATATTTCCATTTGTGTTTTCTTGTGTGGCTCATTAAGTAAGCTTTTAAATTACTGAGAAATGTTAAAAGAAAACATGTTTTGTTTGACAAAACTACGATTTCGCGTACTTTTTAAAGCAAACCCTAAGATTCGTGATCTACAGTATTACATTGCTATACTACTGCAAGAGTGTGATCGGGTTTTTCTCTTTATTTAACAAAAATTGTTGTATCAGCCGATTCGTGAACTCACCTTTGTACGTTTATAAATATGACTTTACAGTCCTTTGTGTCCGATACAAAAATAGAATTCAGATCTTTTTAGAGCTGAATAAATAACAGATAACAGTGACAGTAAGAAAGGCTGGCGCATTTATCAATAGTACAAAACCAATTATCAAATTGAATTGTTTTTATTTGAACAAGTTATCCTGGAGTCATGTTGGTTTAGAAATTATCGAAATACAGATGACTTTGCTGGCACTTTTGGCATACTCTAAAGAAAGATTTTGTGAAATAACATCTCAGCTACAGTAGGTTGAAAATGAATTCATTCTTTCATTTGTTTGTCAAGGAAAAAAATGCAGTTAACCTCTGCATGTATGGGAATGCTGATTACGTAAACTAGTTTTGATGGTAAAGGGACGTTTAACAATTTTGTCGCAAACATGTGCAAGCAGTAATGTTAAAGAATGTTTGGCAGGTCCTTTA